GGTTGTGGCTTTAACAATAAGGTCCAAGTTCTAAGAACACTTCGTGGGAGCGCAATTTAAAAAAAAAGAAATGTGAGATAGATTTTATATAATATAAATAAAGGAGTGCGTTTGTCATTTGTTTTGCTTGATAGATTAAATATAAGACACGTCTCTCAAGCTTATAAGGTCCTGTGCGTGTAAACGTTGGTGCTTTACGCTTTCCTATACCACAGTATAAATGCTCTTAGACCGCATGGTTCGGTATGGTTCTCACCAATGTATTTCCAGCTTGTGCATTTACTAAGTCCCTGTTCACACCTAGGCGCTTTTATGTGCACACAGATGTGCACGTAAATGCGCAACACATAAAAAGCATTGCATTCCTCTGGGGCTCGTTCACACCTGCGCGTTCGTACGCGTGTGCAAAAACGCGCAATGTGGGAAAAAGTACATGCACAATTTGTTTGGGCAGATTTCAACATTCTTTCCCCAACAGACTGTAATGTAGCCACAAAAACAAGCAAAACCACACGTGTATTAAAAAGTCTGCATTTAAACGCGTGCATAAAAAGGCGTTTTTGCGAGCATAAAACACGTTGAAATCCAAACGCCTATGTGTGAATGGATACTAAAACGCTTTAGCTGTGGCTTTTGGTCAATGCATCTTTCACTGCATGTATTTTGAAGGAAACCTGCCAGGCTTTCTAAGTCACTGACCACTCCTAAAGCACAACTCCAATTTCCCCCCCATTTTCCACCCTTGTTTCTTGACCCCCCCCCATCTTGCTGCTTTTATAATTTGCTTTGTGGGCACATGCATTGCACACGACAAGATGTTTTCTGTGCTGGGAGTGACAGGGGCAGCATACAGCCATCCCAGGCGCATGGAGCTCTGTACGCATGTAGCCACTCGGATTTGTGTATATATGCATGCAGCCGTCGTCTGTCATTGATATGTTTGCACTGTGCTGGAACTCCTGTGACAGGTGAGAGGGGAAGAGCACAGCTCTCCCCTCTCACTGTGTTCACGGAGCGGGAGGTAGGGTTGCCACCTGTCCCGGATGCACCTGGACAGTCCGGGTTTTGAATCCTGTATGTGCTGTGTCTGGGTGGCCTGAAAACCAGCTGGCCTGAAAACCAGAAACAGCACATACAGAACTCAAAACCCGGACTGTCCAGGTGAATCCGGGACAGGTGGCAACCCTACTATACGACCATTTTATGCATGAGCTCCATAGTTACCTTTTTTCTTCCAATCTTCAGGCCAGTCAGCTTACAAGATTTCTGGCAGGATCAACAGATACTTTTTGCACTTACTGAACAGATAAAACAACAGATATAACCACATGTTTTCAATGCTTATAAGAATACAATTGACCAAAATAGGGGAAGTTTGTTGTTGGGGTTTATATACTAAGATGTACCATCTTGCAAGGGATTACATAACTATATTTCAATACATATATAAATGTTGCGGTCCTCAAGTGGTTAAAACCAAGAACAGCTGTCATTTTGGTATGGCTGTGTACACCTGACACTTGGCTTTCACATACAAGTGGTCAGGTGGCTGATGTTGAAAAGGGTGCCACTCCCCCTTCCCTGCTGTGTATTCCGGGCACCACTGTTCCTCGTGCAGGCCTAGGACCAGCCCAGCAGGTGTAAGCGGTTTGACCTGAGTGAGATCAGCACACTTCCAATGGCTGATCTCCCCTTTAGTTACTGAATCTGGAAGCAATGATGATTTTGTCACTTCTGATTTAAGGCTGACTTTTCCCTGGCTGCTGTAGCAATTTGTGCTTTAACAGCTTCAGTGGGTTCCATAGATGACAATAGGGCTCTAATAGACCCCCTCATGTCTCCATAAAGAGGACCTGTCACTTCCTCTTGTTAGCCCTTAATGTGATAGCAATAAAGTGTAAAAAAAAACAAAGTTTTAAAAACATTAGTGACATGTAATTGAAACAAAAAATATATACTTAAGAGAACCCCAAAATTTGACCAAAATGTTACCAAAAAATAGGGTATTCTGTGTCTGTGAACTACAATTCATTATAGTGTATTTTTACCTCCAAATATAGATTTGATAAACATATATAATTGTTTGGTTTTTTGAGGCAGTTTTATAGCCACAAATTCAGATTTTTAACGTGTGTGCAAAAATTAGAAAACTGCTTCAGGTGCGAAGTAGATATGATTTAAATAAAAATATTTTGTTTTTGTACTTTAGCCCAGTTGCATTTTTCCTGGATAACATTAGAGTCTAGAATTGTCCCTTGAACTGATGTATATATGAGCACAGTGGGTTTCTCCAGAATTTGCCCTTTTCAATATCTGAGTGAAGTTTCCCAAATGTTTCCTATTGTGAGCAACCACATTACTGGCACAGGTCCTGCTCACTCGCTGTGTTTCTTGGAACTTTGCTCAGGCACCGGCTACAAGACGTTCTAATGGAAGAACTAAAATAACCTATTTGCAAAGTTTGGAAATACCCGGTGAAGGCAGGAACTTGCATTCATTCATTATGTCTCTGGTCACTATCCCAGAGCAGGAATGTAGCGAGTGAATTCCTGTTTTCCATCCTTTTTCCGGGTGACTGAGTCACAAAGTACTGAAGCCACTGGATCACTATTGGACCCAGGCAGCTAGCAGTTCAGAAAGAATTACCTATTTTCCGATGTACGTTTCCTTTAAAGCTGTGGTGCCCAACCAGAATCTCATAGGCAGATTTCAACCCTTTGTTACTTATTGTGAGGTCTTTGGGGCCCCTGCGTACAGTACTCTGTGTTCACCTTATCAAGATGCTTACTCAGGCCAGTGAAGGGGAAATATTTTTTAGAGTGGCCTCTCGTAGGCAAAAGGGATTGATTTGTTTTTTTTTCTTTCACACAATATTCCTTGCTTCTGTGCTGTTCGTATGAAATGTAGCACACGTCATATATAAGGGGCTTGTATGGAGCAGAAAGGTGGAAGCATTGATTTGTAAAGGGGCTGTAATAGCCATATATCTAGAAGTCGCATGTGACTATCTCCTGAAGCGTGTCCCCAATCTCCAATCTCCAGGTGGGGTCCTAATTTAGCTGGCCGGCGACTGCCTGAGGTGCCGCGCGTGTCGGGATCCTCTGGCAGTCGCCAGCCAACTGAATTAGGACCCCACCTGGATCTACTCCCACTAGACCAGCGTTGACTAGCCGCTGCTCTCCCGCACCGAAGATAAGAGAAAAAAAAAACCCCATAGCGCAAACATCGGGGCATTTTGACAAGTAGAAGTACTTGTCAAAATGCCTGTTTTTTCCGCCCTCACCCTGCAGCGCCCTCAGGCGGCCGCCTGACTTGCCTTGCGGTAGCACCGGGCTTGGTCTCTGATCATTTCCTGTAAACATGTTACCAATTTTAGCAAACTAACCTGAACATGTGATAAAAGAATTCCAAAGATACCTTCACTGAAAACCTAATGCCAAAATGATCAGTAGATCCAGAAAATAAGTTAAAGGAGAACTATGACGTGAGTGATTTTCACTGAACCTCGTGAGCGAGCGACACATACCGTCGCTCGCTCACTTCTCGATCATCTCCCTGCAGAGAGCCGTGACTGTCACTCACGGCTCCCTGCAGGGATTCCCCCCCTCCAATCCTCCAGGCACGGATTGGCGGAACGGACGAGGGCGGGTACAGCTGGCTCAGCCTCTAGATAGGCAGAGCCTGCTGTTAATCACGCAGCTGGGTGGATCTCGACAGTAATCCGTCCCGGCTGCAGCGGTCTCCGTATACCGCAAGCTGTAGCTCGCGATATACTGAGCTTTGGGTGACGGGAGAACGCTAGTTTATGTCCTCCTGTGACCCTGAGGAGAACTATGGGAAAAACACTTACCTAATAGTTCTCCTTTAACTTTATATCCAAATCTTAATCTTTCCTGTATAAGTGAGCGTGACCTCACCTTCCTGTTGGCCCTATAATGTAACAGGCTGACCAACGAGGATGACTGGGAGATAGGAAGGAGTGCAGTTAACTTTTGGAAAGGTTAAGATTTTCATATAGCTTCAGCTGTTGATCTACTGATTGTGACTTTCAGTTATCTCATAGGTACCCTCTGCTCATGCTTTCCCTGGTTTGTGATAGGTTTACTTTAAAGCAGAACTCCAGGCAGCTAAATACACATATAGATATAAGGGAGCTGAATATTTATATATTTGTCCATTTACCTGCTTAACTTTGTATAGGTCTCCTGCCCACCCCAGCCTGTCCATGAAGGAGAAGCAACGCATTGATTAGCACATCATTATAATCCTACTATCAGCATGCTCCTTGCATTGCAGCAAAACCAGTTGGCTACTTGTGCTGTTTTTCTCTCTCCCAGTCTGACTTCTGCTGTACAGGGACTGCAAGAGGCTGCTTCCAGGTCAAATTCAGGTATTTACACTGTCTGCATAAAAAAAAGTTAGGACTGTATTACTGAATACTAAGCATACTCTGTCCTCAATTATCCACAAACACTCAGCGATCATTGTTCGCAGAGTGTTTGTACCGCTCTCCTTTCTGACACGCTGTCACAGGAGGCTGATCGAGCGGAGCAGGGAGGAGAGCTCAGCCTCCTGTGACAGCGCGGGCTGTCTCCGCCCACACACCGCTCTTCCGGACTGTGATAGGAGGCTGAGCGGTGTGGGAGGAGACACCAACCGATCACATCGCTCTCCTCCCGCAACGCTCGGGGGCCTGTCACACTTTCTCTCCTCGCCACATGGACACAGAGCAGCGCCCATCGGGGATTAAAGAAACCTGGGATGTGCCGATGTATCGGCAGAAAAATGGCACTTTCGGCATTCAGCCAAAAGTGCAATTTTCGGCCGATATGTTTCGGCGGCCGATATATCGGTGCATCCCTAGTTTATATTTGGTTTCAAAGTTTAGTTTTGTAAATTGCCTAACAAAATCCATTTTATAATGTGAACACCTATGTGACATTGTTCAGAATAATATATAGTACACACACACACACAGTTTTTTAATAAATATAACAACATATGAGATAACCACTGAGACACTTTATTTGATCTTGGCTGGATCCTATCACCTCTGAAGAATCTAAATTGGCTTTGGTGTTGGAAGTACCATCATTTTGCATCTTGTACACAGCAGTATCTGGTACAGAAAGGTGATATACAGCCCATCCATTTCATTTCCTCAAGTCTTCTGATTTCATCTCTACCCCCACCCCGTTTCCCCCCAGCTATGTATTTCTTTGGTGCACATTCAGTTTTTTGGTGAAGTTTAAGGTGAAGTTTCCTATTTTCTCAGAAGGTCCACGATACTATCTACCATGAAGACATTTGGTGTGTGGTTGGTTGTGGCTTCCGCCACCAGTTGACAGGTTCAAGGATGACTGAATATTCTCCCTTTAGTCATCTCCTCCACAGATGGTCAGCAAGGCTTTGCGATAGTCTCCGGATGTTTCACTCTGAAAAAAGTTATTGGGAAAAGAACAGAAGATCAGATAAAAGGCATTTGTATTTCTATTCACTCACGGATATTTTCTAATCCCATGTTAAATGGTGCTGAAATCTGGATGGACTAGCTCTGAGCCTCATCCTTTCCATGGTCCTCTCCTAACCTCTCCTGTGTCCTAACCCAATACAGAATGTCACCCTTTGGATTGTAGACCCTGTGTGTAGTCTGCACATTTGGTGAAAGTCCTAAGAAGGTCCAAGGCGCAGAGTCTAAGGAGCCACCAGGTATTCACCAGCGCATTTGCAAGGGGTAATGGGCTTTGCTACAGAATGGCTGCCAAGTTTCAGCCCTCAGACATGCATGTGCAGACAGCAGCTGACCAGGGAAATAACTGGAGCATAGTACAAAACTGATAGACATACTAAGAAACAAGGGCAGGCAAATTCAGTGCAGGCAGCGAGCAAGCAAAGTCAGATCTAAAGGTCAATAACTGGAAAAACTCGGGGCACTACAACTTGGAAACACTGGGTAACACAGGGGTCACCGGAGACAAAGAGCGCAGGAGTATGTGGAGAGAGTAGGGTCACAGAAATGCACAGGGTGACAGTGTGTCTGGGACCAGATGAGAGCAGGTGACGCAGCAGCCACAGGAACTCTGAAATGCAGAAATTCAGTAACAGACATGAGTGGAGCCTGGGGCAAGAAATAGGATCTATTACCCAGGGAAAAAGTGTTGGTCTCAGCACGGTTTAAATAGAGAGGAAGCATGAGTGGCGGTCAAGCTGCTATAACAATCGGCAGGTGAGGATTGGGAACACCTAAAGCTTCCGGTCTGCAGCAAGTAGAAGAAACCCATATGTTTGTACAAATACAAGTGATCAGCTTTCAATGTTTGTAGAACTACAAGTAACATATCAGCTCTGCAGCTGATCTGTGACACATAATACATTCACAGTATTACTTGCATTACCAGATTCATCCAGCAGGTGGTACTGTAGATGAAATATAATAACACATCTCCTGCACCATGTACAATCAGGGAGCTGCAGAACTTTAAGGGTATCTAAGTTACTGCAGATCTGAGAAGCAGATGGGTGATTTCCATTTAAACTTAAATACAGGTGAAACTCGAATAATTAGAATATCGTGCAAAGTTCATTTATTTCACTAATGCAACTTAAAAGGTGAAACTAATATATGAGATAGACTCATTACATGCAAAGCAAGATAGTTCAAGCCGTGATTTGTCCTAATTGTGATGATTATGGCTTACAGCTCATGCAAACCCCAAGAACCCCAAATCCACAACCTCAAAAAATGAGAATATTACATGCAATCAATAAAACAAGGATTGTACATAGAACAATATCGGACCTCTGAAAAGTACAAGCATGCATATGTATTCAGTACTTGGTTTGGGCCCCTTTTGCAGCACTTACTGCAATTACTTTTGCACAATATTCTAATTATTCGAGTTTCACCTGTATAAACAGAACATTTCATACAACTCAACCGACAACCAGCTGACATTAATACAAATTCACACTATTTAAAGTTGCAGGGGACATTAAACATTTGCAAAGATCTATTATTTCTATGTCACCTGTCTTACAGTGGTCTCACTTTAAACATATAAGGGAACCAAAAAGTTCATTTAACAACTGAGAGCTTGCTGCTTTGCAAGGTTGGTGAAGATCTTTTAACCCCTTCATGACTGAGCTAGTTTTCAGTTTCTGTTCATAAATGACTGACACACTTTTTAAATTTTTGTTGTGTGATTCGTCCACGTCAGTAATATACTTTCTTACTAAATGTACTCACACATATTATATATTGTTTTTTAGAGGACAGATAGGGCTATATAATTATATCAAACATGTGTACCTAACGCCTCACTTAGTTTGAATACAATATAAAAAAATGAGGGGAAAAAACTAGAAGAAAACACTTTTTTTCACAAGTTTTGATTTTTTTTGAATTTTTTTATAATAATTATAGATTATTTTTCTAAAATATAGATTATTTATATTTTCCTAATTTTGTTTGACACTCTATGTTTTTTACACTTTGTAAAAAAAAAGTACTTATTTTTTTGTCAGTTTATAACTTTTTTCATTTTTGGCTTTTATTAGGCTGCTCCAAACTTAGGAACAGCTAATAATAACCTTAGAGACTGATCCTGGCAGCATGTCAGATTCAGATCTCACTAAGGCCTTGTTCACACCAAGCGCGGAGCAGATCCGGACCAGAGCAGGTGCAGACCGGATCAAAACTGCGTCCAATGTATTCCTATGGTATTTTCACCTCCAGTTCACATCCAGACCAGATCCAGACCGGATGAAAAAACTGCGGCAAGCCCTATTTTACCTGCTCTGGATCTGGTCTGGAACGCATAAAAAACGCATCTAAAATGCAAAACGCATCAAAAACGCATGCAAGTGCCTGAAAGCCCATGTTAAACTTAAAAAAAATAATATTTTTTTTTAACCAAAACCAGCCCTAAACGCATCAAAAACGCGTCTCAAACGCGGCACAACCCACTGCACTGTGTGTGCAGAAACCTGACCGGATCTGGTCTGCATTTGGTGTGAACAAGGCCTAAAAGGTCTTTGATCGGGCTCAGACAATCAGAAGTGATACATTTCAGGCAAAGAGATACATTGTATCTCTTTGCCTGAAATGTATCATACACATGGGTCTATCGAGCTGTCAAAACGAATAGCAGAGAGGTGACTCACTCTGCTACCTTTCAGCTGTCAAATACGGGATTGCTATTTAGCGCTCCAGTATTTGCATGTAACGGCTTCATTCTTTCATTAATGCAAGAAAGAAGCTTTTACAAAAGCTTAACTATTTCATTAATGAATGCCTCAATACTGATACCTAATCATATTTCATAATTGACAGTATGAAATATCTAGAAGGCGTATATCCCAAGAGCTTGGAGGCACCTGGACGCAGTTTTAGTGGATACACAGACCTTAGAAGACAGGGTAGGCCCCAAAAGCTTGTCCTGAAAATGTAACTGTTAGTGCAAATAAAAAGGATCATGAGCAGTACTTAAGTGTGTACTTAGTGGCTTGGCTGACATTACAACAAACTCCGGGACAGCATAAACATTCCAAAAAACACAGCAACATATTATAACATGCCATTCTACAAAGTTCATTGAACTCCTGGGGTTTTCAGAATGTCAACAAATACTTCCTGGAAAACCAACTATCCAATATGTAGAGAACATACTTTTTAAGAAGGCAGAGTAAAGGGCTATGACAATGTGCTAAGTGTAGGCTGAAATGGAGGTTACTAAATTCTAACGTGAAGGGCATTATGCTTTCTCTCTGTAGAAGTTTCCCTTGAAAGAAAGAACAGGGTTTAAAATGCGTTTTATGTCCCAAAAGCCTTCCTATGCACTGGGGGAGCAGCTGAAAGATGCTTTTTCACATATCAGAAAAGCAGTGTTGTTTATTTCAGCTGCATGACGCATACAAAACTGGAGGAACTGTTCTGTACTGATATAGCTAATGGTAAAGTTCATGTTTTAGGCATTGCATGTAAAGAGCTGTGAGTGGGTGCTACTATATTCAACTATTTGGGTGTGCTCTACATATAGTGCAATGATGAGGATCCTTCTAGGACAATGATGTGGGTCCTTCTAGGATACATGAAAAAGGACGGTGGGAAGGCCAGGGAACCCATGCTTTGCCCATGCAGAGAAAAGTAACAGGTTTGTTCTGATGCCACTCTCCCCAGGAGCACATACTCACATTTACATCACTCTTCCACTGCTCCAATCAGCCACTATAAGTGGGGACGTTTCTGCAGTCAGAGTATACACAGAGCTGAGGAGTCTCCCTGCCCCTATGTGACAGTGCTAAGTCAAGCACCAAGCACCAGAGCTGTCACATGAAAGCAGAGGGAGTGAATTACATGTTCCTCCATACCCCAAAGTGTGCAGTATTGTTGATGCTCCTGGTGCTAAAAAAAAGCATCGGGGAAGGAAAGGAAAGTATGTGCTGCTGGTCAGTGGCGTCACAAGGGGGGTGCGGCCCGCACCCGGGTGCCACCATTGGGAGGGGTGACACCAAAATGACTTAGTCATTTTGGTGTCACCCCCCTCTGAAAAGTCGGGCGCTCGGTCATGGACCGAACGCCCGACAGTATCAGGAGAGAGGAGGGGACCCGGAGGCATACCTTATCCCGCCGGGGGACTGTCCCCTCCTCTCTCTGCCGGCGTCCATCACCAAGATGGCCGCCGGCAGGTATCAGAATACTGCCGCGCGTGCGCGATGACGTCATCGCGCACACACGTGACGTCTCGGCGGGGTGACACTCGGTTACCGCTCCGGGTGTCACCCAGCCTCGGGACGCCCCTGCTGGTGGTGAAGGGGACATTAAAGGGACCCTATTGGGTTCTTAAACAAATCCAAATACCAGTACCCTTAAAGAGGTAGTTTACTAACCTTTCCAGCAGCCTACCTTCCCCTGTTATATCACTGGGTCATCCATTAGTGCCTTTAGCAGTCACAATTTGTGGCAGTCTCAGATACCCGTGTCCATTTGCATGCGCGTGGTTCTATTCTCTGACTCTTAAGTCACTACAAGATTCGGGAGTGATGTAGGGGCAGGAGGATGGAACCACGGTGTGTGGTGAGGGTCACAGGCATCTGATACTGAGGCTGCAATGGTGAAACAAGGGAAGGTAAGACACAGAGGCCGCTGGAAAGGTGAGTATGATACCTCTTCTCCTACAGGGAGCTGGTATTTGGATTAATTTAGGGACATGACAAGAGTCATTTTAAAGTGAACATGTTGATTTGCCCTGCGTAAACAAAGCACAGATTTTCTTTAAATTAGGGATGCACTGATACCGGTATTTGGGTATGGAGTATGAGTACCAATATTTTTTTCCAGTATCCAATACCGAATGCCGATACTGGAAGTCCCATTAAGGAAGCCTATACGTGTATTCCTATGCGTGTAATGGCTCGCCACCTGGCTTCCCGATAAGCAGGGAAGCAGTCTCCATGCTTCTCATCACTTCCCAGCCAATCAGATACTTCCGGTATCAGAAAGCCTGGTGCCGCAGCATTACACGGCGCCTGGCTTCCTGACTGGCCAGCTTCCCAACCAATCAGCGTGTAATGACTCGCTGCCCGGCTTTCTGATACCGGAAGTATCGGGCTAGGTATGGGAGCATTTGGGCGAGTACGAGTATTCGCATAAATACTTGGCATCGGCATTGATACTAGAATCAGTATCGGTGCATCCCTACTTTAAATGACTACTGGATACTAAAATGTATTCCGGAAAATGACAGTTTAGCTGTCATTTAGGAAAATATTCTCAAAAAGCATCTTGAGGGCACATTCAGAATAAGAATGAAAAGATTCTGTAACACAATACAGCTGGACATTACAGAAAAGTCCTCTTAGATCAGCAGACTCTTCAGGAATGTGGGGTCTTTTGTGAAGGGGGTTTTCCATTAAACAAAAAATCTGCAGTTCAAGTTTAAGATGTTATATTTGGCCATAGCGATCATTTGATAGTAGGGCCGGTAAGAGGGATTTTTGCAAGACAGTGGGGAATTCCAGAGTAATGCGATATCAGCGCAAGCGGAAGACATGTCTCATATTGCAGCACGGCTTCTTCAAAGCCAAATACATTTGATATGAGATATGCATCAGTCAATTCTGCAGTTATATTCATTGTAATGATGTTATTGCAGACAATCAGACTGCATAAAATGTAAAGAATAAGTCAGAGGTTTTTTTTATTTTTGAATAAACTACTGGTAGATTTACTTGTGCTGACAAAATTCTGGAGATTCAGATCACTGCTCAACACTGCAAGGGTCCGGATCACCAATGGTCCAACATGTCCCCTGCTCAGTTTTCCAATACAGCCCAGTGGACATGAATGTTGTTGATTGGAACACTGTGCAGGAGGTGTGCCAGGCTACTGAAGATCTGGACTTAATGCCCTTAAAAAATGTAAGTTCTTCCATGGTACAAATGCAGTAAACACCACACAAAATTTGCAACACTCGCATTTCTGTGCAATAAACCTTTTACTACATAAAAGCATAGAAAAATGTTCCTATGTTTTAAAAACACGCTAAGCTGCAACGTATATTATAAATAAATGTGAAATAGACCTATAGAGTCAGCCTCTCTGACTTAAGGTAATTCCCTAGGGTTTGGAATATTAAGCATGATAGTTCTCTATCTTTATTATCTTACCTTTGGGCAAGCAGGGATAAATGTAGAGCGGGGAAGGTGCCACTCATTTAGTACAAGTGATCTTGGTGATGTCGCCGAGATCACTTGTAATAAGCCTGCCACCCCTGTCCACCTTCACCGTGGTCCGCCCCCACTGCCGGCTGTCTCTTTCCCGCTGGCCACTCTCCTCCCTGCCGTGATTTTTGGGGTCCCCCCGGCAAAGAAGTGTAGGATGGAGAGCGGGGAGCAGAACGGAGAATGCCCGTTCTCTGGTCTGTTCTGTGTGAACAGTAAAGACAGGAAGGCTGTACTCACAGCCTTCCCGTCTCAGCTGTCACAGGAGATTGAGCACAGTACTGTGCTAAAACTCCTGTATGGGTGACAGGTTCAATAAAAAGCATTTGGAGGTGACAGGTTCTATCACATAGCAATAAAGTTAAGTGAAAAAAAGTATAGAAAAATCAAATAAATACAAATTAAAAAAAAAAGTATAAAAAGTTACATAAAACAAATATTTAAAAAAAGTACAAAATAAGAATAATTAAAATAAAAAGTAATAAATAAAAAATAATAAAATCAATAACAATGATAACAAAAATAAGTAAAAAATAATAAGGTAAATAAACATTACAAAAAGTTTTTAAAAATAAAGCAATAAAAAAGTAAAAAATAATAAAGAAAAAATTAAATGTGTAAATGTTTGAATATGTGTGTTTCCCTATTTTGCCTCAGACAGTGATGCTGAACATTTTTTAAACCCCAGCCCAAACTAAAAGACAATACCAAACTTATTTTAAGTAATGGCACTTTGAGATAAATAAATTGATTTGCGTTGCAGTTTGGGCACCCAGGCTCAAAAACATTAGCCCTCACTGGCCTAGGGAGTCATTTTTCGATCAGAGCATTTCATTTTGACTTCCACATTGAGTTAAGACAGTTATAATCAGGTCATTTAGGATCATGTAACAAACATGAAGATCAAATGTCAGTCTCTCCATGTCTGTTAATTACCTCAATACAGTGGTGCAGGGACTTCTCATAGGCATCCATGAACTCTTTGCGAATGTTAAACAGGTCAGTTTCACTTCTGGATATCAGGATTCTGGTCAGTGTCCTCTCTTCTGTCCCTGCGCCCTATGGACATAACATGAGTATAACGTGAGCACACACATAAGCATTTATAGGCTGGAAAGAACCACAGGTCCTATGTGCATCTGTTCACTAAATACTTTTATATTCTCTCTATACCCATTACTGAGGGAGCAGAAGCTACAAAACCCCTGACATAACGTAACAGAACGCACAGATTAAACAGAAATGAATGCAATATGAAATGTAAAAAAAGGTGAAGTCATTCGGTAAGGCAGGGAGATGGGTAAAATACATGTGCCCAATCAAAATATGCCTTCCATTGGTCTAACTATTGTTATCTAAAGAAAGAATGGAACCAATAAGTACAGCCCATTGCAAAGCATTTGGTGATGCTTGTTCCCCTTAAAGGGAAACCAAAATGTTTTTTTTGCCAATTGTATTTTATTTTTTCTTTACGTTTATAAATTTTTAAACTGATGTTTTTTAATCTGTCTACTACCATATGTATACATTCTTTGCTTTACAAGTAAACATTGAGGGCTCGTTTACATAAATGCTTCATTTTGGTGGGCGGGCTAGTGTGTCGTGACACCTGCGGTGGGAGGCAGTGTGCTGTCTCAGCGGATCACACTGTTTACTTCTTATTTTCTTTTTTTTTTTTATAAATTCTTTATTTTTGTTATTTTTGTCATTTATACATAGAACAACATAGGAAAACATAATACATCAATAGGAGGCAGACATCATACAGAGGGAAGGTACACAAATTAACCTCGATCAGTGCACTCACTTAAAACGTGGAGATTCCCTGGGCATAACGATGACATTCTGAATGCCAACTGAGGCTCATCAGGTTGAGGTAGCAGTGATCATGAGCTTGCCATAATATTAAGCTCAACAGTCCAGGAGTAGAAGTACATATTGGATACTCAGGGAGTAGTCATTGGAACAGGATTGATGGCAGGGGAGGGAGGGGAAACATACATGGGAAAGGGAGGGAGAGGGGGCAGGGGAGGGTAGAGATAATGAGGGGGCAGAAGGAAGGAGGAGTAGTATAGGGGGTGGAGGCTGGGGGGTCTTGCTTCTTATTTTCTTTTAACTTTTCTTTCCCATACTATTGGTGCGGTGCAGAGCAGTCCAGTGCGCTGAGAAAAAACGCAGCCTGTTTGCATTTTTTGGAAGCACATTGCACTGCACATCACAGACACACAATGTAGTGTAAATGGGGGAAATAGAAAACAATTCTTTTCTATGTGCCCTAGCGCGAACTAACCCGTAAAATATCACAAAGGATCCTCAAAGTATTGTAGGTGCTCTAAAGGGAGTGGTAGATGTTGGCATTCTGGCTTTGTTTGTCTGAATGAGAAACTTACTTTGGCTGGGGGTGTGTAAACTTAAGCTTGAGCTATTGAGCCCTGTAAACAACAATATTTTAGCAGTAAGCAGATACTGTATACGTGCATAGCAGCCTAAAGCTCCATGTGCTGCCTGGATGAAAAATAGATGAGAATTCTATGCAATATTGTCTTGGCTACAAAAAAATATATTTTTTTAATCCTGGCCATAATTAGTGAAGACTATATATATTTTTTTAAAACCTATACATTTCCTTTAAAGTGTAGCCTGAAATCTGATGGCAGCAGTGTCAATGCTCTTTGCACTGCCTTACTGAATAGGTTTCATACGGTATGATGTTGGACAAATGTCATGCTGCTCTAGCTTGGTGTTACTTCAAGACCTACAGGAATGTTCTATTTGATAGGGGTGTTTGTAAAGCAATTTAGCTGCAGTAATAAATGCAGCCACTGACAATAAGCCCAGCAGACCAACTGATGACCACTATATTGTATATACAGTATATATACTGGTAGATAGGGGCTACTTCCACTTTTTGCTAGAAACCACAGAAGCAGCATGTGGTGTAACCATAAGATTACCCGCTAAAAAATGAATGTCAGTAGATGGTGCTGCAGGTATATGCGCTTGGCAACTGACAATCTCTGACTCCATAAGCTGACTTGTGGGAGAGGAACGTAAAAATACATTTTAGGGTCCAAAAATCATTGCAAATGGCATGCATGCTCTTAGGAGTTGCACGTTTTGGGAATCTGCAATGGTTAAGATGAAACTGCTATTTTAAGTGTGGCCAGGTTCTGATTTACAAGCTACAGGCCTGTATATCAGCAGTGACACTGTTGATAGCCACAATCCCTGTGCCATTTTTTCATCCCACTTTTAAAGCATGGATAGGCAGGAAGAAGGTAACCACAAATGAGGCTAAAAACATGACAGGCGGGCAGTGAGGGTGGCAGTTTAAACTACTAAGTCTGTGTTATTAAGGAATGACAGATAGTAAAGATGAGGGGACGATAACGACTCTGGTAGTTTGGTTTGTGAGTCGTAGGAACACCATCATAATTCTTACCTTCATTGCCTTGTAGAGGCGCTCTGCAAAGTAGCCTGGTTTATTCTTTACACTCCGTACTGGTAAGAGGAAGGAGAAAAAAATGATTAAAGATAATGTTGAAGACATTCTTTTCTTGATAAGATAATAACAACTTAAGCCTAAAGCTATTTATACCACAAATATCACTTCAAAAGGAAATTCAGTAACTTACATCTTGTAAAATGTTTCTGTACACCTGACATAATGCTTAAAAAGGAACCCCATTAAACCATTAGATTCACTAATTGTTTTATAAGGGAAGCTATAATGGTTTGGATTATTAAAAAAAAGTTTATAGTAAAAAAAAGGCAAAACTTAAGTTGAAGCTGGCATAACATGGGGAGCAAGAAGACTTCACTGACTGGAATTATTTTCCACAAAACTGTTCGGCAAGCCTATACTCACCGATAGCTACAAAGGCATCTTTAACATCCCCTGACATTTCTTTCTTAATGGTATTCTCAATATCATGGTTGGTCTGCTTGATAAACTCCTGGAAAACTGTAGAAAAAAAAGACAGACAGAGGATTAACACAATGCTGAAACACTACGAGCAGAGACTAAGTCCCTGTTCACACCTAGGCGTTTTGAGGCTCAAAGGTGAGCGCGACAAAACAAACACAAGAAATCCCATTCATTTCTATGGCCCCTGTTCACACCTGAGAGTTTTGTCGCAAGCTGTAAAATGCCAAATGCTGGAAAATGTACATGGGGTTTTTTGAACTTTAGGCGGATATTTTTAAAAAATGCAGCTGTGCATCCCTTCAAAAATAATGAAATGTATTTGACATACAACTAGATAAGTACCTGAATTTGTTTTATCAGCCTCTTGTTATTCCTTGCACAGCATTCATACTGAGACAGGGAGGGGCAGCACTAGAGCCAATCCAGGCCCTGCTACATGTACATGTGCTGACAAGGAACTTGCTGACAGGAGGAGAGAGTGGCCACCTACCTGGCTGTGCTGTCTGGCACAGGTGTATGAATTACAAAAGTGGATGTACAGAATTCCAAATTCTTGGCAGATAAGACAGTTCATACAGATACAATCCAACTGTTCATTTAGGGCCTGTTTCCACTTGTGCATTGCGAGAACGCAAATCGTTCACATCTGTGCGCCATGGTGCATTACAACGTTGGGGTGCTATGAATAGCTATGCGACACACTGCACAACACATGTTTCACAGTGCTTTTACAGTGTGTTACAGCAACACACAGGTGTGAACTGGCCCTTAGCTCTTTGCTTGGGGTTCAGCTTTATGATGACAGTGCAAACTCAACAAGAATCTCTGGATCCAGCTTGCAGCATTAGACAAGAAGCTGGGGCAATGTTTACCTCTTCTGAGGTGTGGGTAGCTGCGAGTACACAGGATGGTCATAAAACAGGTTTCCATGGAAGAAGCATCACCGGATCCTGAATCTGCCACTTCCTGCAAGACCAAGCATCAAAGGATAGAAAGAGACACACAAATGGGAGGGTCAGTAAATGGCAAACGTTATATTAGCAAATATATTGTAAACATTTTGTTTACATCAAGGACAAAGGTGACACAGATATGGTCACATAAATGTGTACTGTACAGGTGAACGTAACTTCATAATACAGTGACCATTCATTGTTGTAGAGATGAGTATAAAACAATAAGAGAGATTGCTGAGGGTTAGGTAAAGGATAACTATGCTAAAATAGGATTTTGTTCTTACTGTAAAATGCTTTTCTCAGTGTAATTTGAAGGACACAGCTCTAAAGAATTATGAGTAGCAGGGTATGTACATGGGGTTTTTTGAACTTTAGGCGGATATTTTTAAAAAATGCAGCTGTGCATCCCTTCAAAAATAATGAAATGTATTTGACATACAACTAGATAAGTACCTGAATTTGTTTTATCAGCCTCTTGTTATTCCTTGCACAGCATTCATACTGAGACAGGGAGGGGCAGCACTAGAGCCAATCCAGGCCCTGCTACATGTACATGTGCTGACAAGGAACTTGCTGACAGGAGGAGAGAGTGGCCACCTACCTGGCTGTGCTGTCTGGCACAGGTGTATGAATTACAAAAGTGGATGTACAGAATTCCAAATTCTTGGCAGATAAGACAGTTCATACAGATACAATCCAACTGTTCATTTAGGGCCTGTTTCCACTTGTGCATTGCGAGAACGCAAATCGTTCACATCTGTGCGCCATGGTGCATTACAACGTTGGGGTGCTATGAATAGCTATGCGACACACTGCACAACACATGTTTCACAGTGCTTTTACAGTGTGTTACAGCAACACACAGGTGTGAACTGGCCCTTAGCTCTTTGCTTGGGGTTCAGCTTTATGATGACAGTGCAAACTCAACAAGAATCTCTGGATCCAGCTTGCAGCATTAGACAAGAAGCTGGGGCAATGTTTACCTCTTCTGAGGTGTGGGTAGCTGCGAGTACACAGGATGGTCATAAAACAGGTTTCCATGGAAGAAGCATCACCGGATCCTGAATCTGCCACTTCCTGCAAGACCAAGCATCAAAGGATAGAAAGAGACACACAAATGGGAGGGTCAGTAAATGGCAAACGTTATATTAGCAAATATATTGTAAACATTTTGTTTACATCAAGGACAAAGGTGACACAGATATGGTCACATAAATGTGTACTGTACAGGTGAACGTAACTTCATAATACAGTGACCATTCATTGTTGTAGAGATGAGTATAAAACAATAAGAGAGATTGCTGAGGGTTAGGTAAAGGATAACTATGCTAAAATAGGATTTTGTTCTTACTGTAAAATGCTTTTCTCAGTGTAATTTGAAGGACACAGCTCTAAAGAATTATGAGTAGCAGGGTAATGCTGCTGCCTTCTGGAGAAATGGACACTAGGCAAAAAATTAAAAGGCTGCCACTTTGTATGGAAGATTGGCAGGTTTAAGATGTTGATGTTACCTAAATTGCTTTATCTGTTTCGTGCCTTGCATATTCCCATTACTACCTCCTAACTTGGTACTTTAAAAAGCATGTTCCTTAAATTTATTTGGCAGAACAAGAGAGCCAGATGTTCCTATTCCCAATTGAGTAAGAATAAAGGTGCTGGGGGCATGGGCCTGGTGGATCTGCAAACTATTACTTCGCTGTTATATTAGACCAGCTTGTTATATTAGACCAGCTTAAGTATTGGTTTAGACCCGCTTCTACTGTTTTGTGGTGCGATATTGAACAAAGTCTTATCCCCGGCCGATCAAAGCCCAGTTATTTGTTGCCTTCTCTCTGAAGTAATTATTCTAATGATGGGATTTCTCCAGCTGTGAGAGCAACACTAATGGCGTGGAAACACGTGTGCAATTTTACAATTAAAACATCTAAGCAAAGTTGGAATAACAAAGTGAGAAACTCCTCTGTCTTTCAACACCTGGGTTTCAGCAGTTAGGCCACTAAAGCCAGCGACTGAGGAGCAGGGTGGAAAATTGTTCCTTGAGGTAAAAGATCTGGCCGATCTGGAATAAGCCAGGGATCGTCTGCCAACAGATGAACCAGATCGGCATACCACACCCTACGTGTGGAGTGACAAGAAAAACAACACCACCTTTGTGTTTTATCCTGCAAAGCAGAAGAGCTAACAGCGACAGTGTGAGGAAAGGCATACATCAGGGTGTACTGCGGCGCTACCAAGGCATCCACCACTGGATTCCTTGCTCTGGATACAAATCTGTCCACTTTCTTGTCATGGCAAGAGCCTAGAAGATGCAAATCTGTTTGGATCCAAATCCAATTTAAAAAAAAATAGTGTGAAAAGTCAAAAACAGTGTTAACAAAATACAAACTATAGTCCACAGAATTAGTTAAAAGGAGAAAGTGTCCCAGCCCCCTACATGGAGAAAAATATGGTTAGAGTACTCACAACCTCCACGGTACTGGTTCCAACATAAAAGGAATCCCCAGACATAAATGACCTGACCTCAAAAATGGTAGCTGAAATATCTCATCAGATAGGAACACAGGACCACTGCACATGCAGTAACTACGCTCTTTAAATGAAGAGATGACCACAGGAACGCAGGACGAATCATCAGTACTGAGACTAGAAGCAATCTGCTTCCTGACAGCTAGAGAAACTTCCAGGATTTAACTTATCCGGTATGATTTTGTTAGTTTTGTCGGCTAGCTAGATTAACTTCCATAATTTAATATTATCTGGAATGAACCAACAACTCTTGATAGTAGAATCTCACCAAAGAAACAAAACAAAGCCAAAATAAAAAAAGCAGAAAAGAAGGAGACATCCATTCTCATGAAGACACTAAGCAAAACTGGCAGGTGGGAGGGGTTATGATCTTAAAGTGGCATGCTGTGAAATGTTTTGCCTTGTGTCCATTTCTCCTGAAGGCAGAAGCATAACTCTACATCTCAGAATTCTTCAGTTGTGTCCCTCAATGGACAATGGAGACAGTTATCCTTTAAAACCAACTTGTTGCTTTGCTGTGTATCGACAAAGCTCAGGTTTGCTTTAAAGCCAACCTACTGGGGAAAAATATGAACACTGTCTTTACAGCTCTCTCCAAACAAATCCTAGTTGCCTAGCTGTCATGTTGATGCATTGACTTCAATACTTTCTGAGTCCCTGACCCCATATATATAGAGAGACAGATTTCAATATTTCATCCAATTTCCTTTGCTACATGTTTGTTTTCCAGAGAGAGGTTATCAAAGGCACATGTGTTTCTTTCTTAAAAGAGGCACCTGAGGCTAGGTTCGCACCTAGGCGATTCAGATGCTGAGCTGTTTCGTGCGGTTGTCGCCGTTTTCGATCGCACAACTGTTGAAAACCGCGCGGTTTTCAATGCATAGAGATGTTTATGGGACCCAAACCGTGTGACAAAAATAGCTCCTGCACCTTTTCGCGGGACAGGCGATTTAGTCCACGTGGCAAACCGCAAAGGTGTGAACAGCCTCTATTGATTTCAACGTGAATCTGTGTTTTGCGCGATAAATTGCCTAGGTGTGCACCGGCCCTTAAAGAGACACTGTCACTTTTCCCATTCAGTGCAATATGGTAATGTCTGCAAACAGGCCCTCCAACCTACTGATGCTCACCTCTCCAGGGATCCCTTCATGCTTACTCTTCTATTATCTGTAAAATTGCCCAGTGCATACAAGTATGGAGGACCATGTAAACTGCACACAAGTGACATTGTTTGAGCCAAATCTCTAGCCCTGAGTGCTGTCACTTGACGGTGTGGGTGATGCCATCACTCCCTTAAGGCTCTGATACCAGTGGAAACTGGGTATTATTGTGCCGACTTCAACAGAGAAAGGAGCAGTGGGAGATTTCTGGAGAGGTGAGTATGAGTGGTTCAGGGGGTCGTTGGGGGACCATTTTAAAGACACTGTCACTTTGCCCTGAACAGGTGTAAAGTGGCAGTGTCTCTTTAATAACATTGCAATTAAAGACTGGCTTTGAGTTGCATTGCAGGAACAAGTGGGTTAAAGTTTGTAGGCCACTGGTGTTCATTGGGTGTATAGTAGGTGTCCAAAAGCATCATAAGCCCTAACTGTTATGCCCCTTACCACCATCTTTTTTTTATATGTATGAAGAGGGATCATCCTTTAATCAATCATCCCAAAAGATCTTTCCCCATTTGCTACATCAACAGGTAGACACACTTCCTTAATTAACATTAATATAAAAAATTGTCATACAAAAGACAGAAAGGAAAGTGATATGATTATTACTCACCAGGACTGAAGCAATAATCTATGGACAAAAGGAAGAAAGAATGAAAATTAAGGCATGCTTAGATGCAGGAAGGAGGTTCCACCTCATGAGCTATAAAAATGGGCAGGTATCGGTAATGAAGAGCACACAATAGAGTCAATGATCCGGCCAGTAAAACACTTTCTGTCTCAAGCTAGCCATACACCTATAGATTATCTGCAGATTTTCTATGGTTAGATGGAAAAAGTGCAACAGATTCCTCCATCTCCGCTAAAATGTGTGGATGGAGGAATCTCCAGGGTAGGGTTGGTGTTGTGGGGGGCTAAGAAATGGGCAACAAGTTCGTTTGCAAATACTATTAATTGTTCGTGGTCAATCCTTATGCTTTACTGGCTAATGAAGTATCTGTGAAGTACAACTTGCTGTATTTCAACTCATGAGCCAAAACTCATATAAATCTAATAGCAAAAAAAAGTAAGATGAATATTCATAAGCAAATATTCAGAAGGATGTAAACAAAACGTAATGACGTAATAATTAATTGATTCTGATATGGTTGATAGATATAAAAAGTGTATTGGGTGGGCTCAAAATGTTGCACTGGCTTTCACAAAAGTGAATCCATAATCCATACTCTAAAAGGAGTTCTTATTTGTATGTGCTAATTATCAAGTGCAATAACCTATAGCAACTAGTCATTCATTTAGCACAGACAGCAGCATACTGATTGCTTACTACTAGTTACTGCATTTAAGGATCAGGATAAGGAAAATAACTATTAGGTGAACTAGAAGGAATCTGTCAGTCTATTCCTCCTCCTGTAATCAACATTAAAAAGTGTTAGGTCCTATTCACAGCACAACACATATCACTGAAGAGCATGTGCTTCTGTGCATTGAAGAGCAGTGCGGTGTCCTGCGTTTAGCAGTCAACTTAAAATGAATGGGCTGTAACACACATACACCTCAATGTATGGGAACATGTGCTATCTAAATTTTTTTTACAGTGCAGCACAATGCAGGAGGCACTGTGTTATACTGTGCTGCAGTGCATTACATTATGAGGGGCATTTTGGATATGTGTTAGAGTCGGGGTCCCAAAGTACCGGCCCACGGACCAATTGTGGCCTGTAAACCAGTACTATGTGGTCCGCAGCCAGCTGACAAGTCAGGCACGCGGTCACGGACTGGGTACCTGACTTGCGTGAACAGCTACACAGTCTGCATCACTGTCAGATGCAGACCACATAGCTGATGCTGGCTGTGCGCTAAGTTCTTTTTCCAGTTGCTTGAGCTCTGGCCGAAAGGATGGATTATTAAGGTCTGCACCAGACCTTACTAATCACCAGGGAATGATGTGACTCCTCGCCTCCTCCCTGCAAAAACGTAAGCAGGTGAGGGGGCTCTTTGTTCTATTTTTGTGTGTGTGGGGGGAGCATATTATTTTTTGTGGTGGGGGGCGGGGAACAGGGGGAACATATTATTTTATGTGTGGGGACACACACACACACATATTCACACCTGTATTTTTAGGTGCGATTAGGGATTCTTGCATCAGGAACTTGCTTTCTCCTGCAGCAGGAATCCCCAATGTGGCATTTACATGCAGCAGCTGTCACCAATTCAAGTTAATGATCTGGTGACAGCCACTGTATGTAAAAGACTGCACACCGCAAGTAATGGTATGTGATATGATTACATAACATGCGGTGTACAGGCGTTTACATCAGGTGACATCAGGTTTACATTAGGTGTCAAAACGCCTGCACACCGCATATTATGGTATGTGATATAATTACATGTGGTTAGGAATCAATCATTATCCCTGAATGCAGGATCGATGCATCCAGGGAGAATGATTCCTAACTTCATGTAACCTTATCACATACCATTACATGCGGTGTGCATCCATTTACATACAGTGGCTGTCACGGGATCATTAACTTGAATGACAGCTGCCGCATGTAAACGCCGCATTAGGGATTCCTGCTGCAGGAAAACGCAAGTTCCTGATGCATGAATCCCTAATCACACCTAAACATACAAGTGTGAATGGGGCCTCATTGTGTGTATATTAGTGTTTCCTGACGCCAATCCATGGCAGCGTACAATGAGCCATACCCCTGTATGCTGCCATGTATTGGCGTCAGGAAAGGAAAATTACCGATAGGTAAGTATACAATTTTCCTGACGCCAATCCATGGCAGCATACACGGGTATGGCTCATTGTATGGTGCCATGTATTGGCGTCAGGAAAGGAAAATTACCGATAGGTAAGTATACAATTTTCCATTGTGTGTGTGTATTTCTGGTTGTGGGGGGTTGTGCATATTTCTGTTTGTGTGTATTTCTATGTGTGTGTGTGTGTGTGTATCTCTGTGTGTGTGTGTGTGTGAAGCATGAAATTTGACAAGCGGCTCTCATGGGAGAAAAAAAATTGTCCAGTGGCCCTCGAGTGAATTGAGTTTGCCACCCCTGTGTTAAGAGTGTCGCACATTACCCAAAGCTATAGGTGTGACTGGGCCCTTCGTATTCTTGCACCTGACTCAAGTCTGATACAAGGAAAGTTCTACTGTATTTTGAAAAAACTGTTGATATCCCAGCAAACAGTACCACCTAGAGGTCCGGACAAACCTGAATTTCACTGTAACTACTTTATTGTTGTCTACTATATTTCAATAAAGAGGACACATTTCACCCAAATGTTTTTTTTTTACAGTGCATACAATACGTAAAATGTTAGGGATTATATGCTTGGGACAAATCTGAAAAGGGTACATCATTGCTTCTGTCCAGTTGAGTATGAAAAATATTAATTAAGCTTATCAGCAGTCTGTAGGGTTGGGTACCCAGGCTGGGCCCTGCCCATCCTTCCTTTTCCCTTTACTCTTTTCCCTTACGTCTGTCCCTTTCTCACTTGCTCTGCTGCTATTGTGCTCATTTTTCACCTTTTTCCACTTCTTCCCCTGCAGTTTCTAGACTGTTATGGATCAAGATTCTTCTATTCACACCACTTGGCCTGCTTTGCCATACTACAATGTGGTTGTGCCAATTGGGACTCATTTGTGTCTCGCTGCCTTCAGCCATATGTGTTCCTGAATAGTTGTGTGAGCCAAGCGTAGCCCTCCTTGCGTTCTTGTTTTAGCAATCCAATGTACTTGTCAGACATTGTGATCTATGGTTTGCCTTCCTCTCTCGTCTGTTTCAATGCTATTCCCAAAAAACCTTCCATTGTACAGTGGTGGTCTGGGGCAGTGATGGGGGTACGCTCCTTTTCTAATAATTATGTGTTTTTGTTCATGTTGGATATCTACATTACTTCCAATGTCCATGTCATTTATTGATATTTTTGTTTTTTGAATCAATTCATTAATTAAGCTTATTTTGTGTTTCTTTTCTCTTCAGTGGTAATACTGTGATCTTGCGTTATTCTTTTGTATAACTTTATTACCAATTATTATTATTACGTAGTATATATATAGCGCCAACAGTTTGCGCAGCACTTTACCAATAAAACATTTGTAAAAGAAAACAGTCTAAACTTACCTTAGCATCATCTACGGCTTTGTCGCAGTCTTCACCCCCTTCATCACGGTTAGCCTAACCAGAGACACAAATGCACATTTTAAACCACAGCCCTAAATACTTACTAGGGTTTATAAAGGGTTCATTGGGCTCAAATACAGCAATCAGTAAAATGCTAGTTTTCATTACTCTCCATGTTGTTAGATTTAAGATCCTTTGTCTGCTTAGAATATAATGGAATTGCACTATGATCATACCTAGTCATCATTATATTATGTTGGGCTGTACAGTGCCCTATGTCTGTGTACATTCACAAGCTATTCAAGGAAATTACTAGATTATCCTTTGAACTATATTATTTTACCATTTTTATATTGCTGTGCGTATATATATATCTATAGATACAGTATATATATAGATATATATATAGACCCCCCCATCACACCTATACCCCACTATATATGCCATTTGGTAAAAGATAGACAATCTCCAAAAAATGGTTATCCTGTACTTAGTTAACTGTGAATAAATAACCAACCGAAGCCAATGACACCAGGATCCTCTTGAAGTGTCCAGATGTGTCTGAGCTTATAGCATCTTCCAGTGACTGGTGGTAAGCTGCAGATAAAATATAAAAAAATAAGTTTGTTGGAAATTCTATAATCACTGGACTGTAAAATACCCAACTAAAAACTATGCACACAGTATGTGCACAAAATATTTTATACCAAGATAGTTTATACCAAGGCCCCGTCATCAAATGCCCATGTGAAAGAAATCCTTGAGTGTTTTGTACATTATTCTGTTAAATGAGTCTAGGAATCAGCTAAAGAGACCATAAACAAGATACAAATACAATGGAGGATATTTTCAATGAAACTCCTTTTATGAATCAGGCTTCTATTATGTACAGATGTAAACTTAGTCAATTTATTAGACAGGTCTGCTGAGCCTGACACCGGAGAATTCCTGAAAGTGATTCAAAATTATGGTTTATAGACAGTGTGTCCAGTGTGTTAAAGACAGCAGGGGAAGAAGGGACTTCTCCTACATACAGCACAAACTCACGTTATGCCTTCTTGATATCTTTTGAATTTTGTTGTAACAGCTCTATTGCTTGGTTACCTTGTCAGCTTTTGATTATATTGCCTTTGTTTACCTTTAATTGGGAACTTAACAGTGATAAACCTGTTTAACATTTAAGGCTGCACTCCAGGCAAACAGCTAAATGCACAGATGAAATTCATATATGGCTGCTGTTTTACCTGCTGAAGGATATGATTTTCTATCCATCCACCTAATATTTACACCGCTCTGCCACACAGTGCTTCCCTGTCTGGCAGGGCATAAGACCTGATCATTCTTTGTTGCAGTTAAAGGAGAACTATGGGGTTAGGGCTTTTCCCCATAGTTCTCCTAAGGGTAACGGGAGGACACAAAATAGCGTCCTCCCGTCACCCTAAGATCAGTATACCGTGAGCTGTAGCTTGCGGTATACTGAGACGCCGCAGCTGAAACGGATCCCGACAATTATGTCGGGACCCGCCCAGCTGCGTGAGTGACAGCTGGCTCTGCCTATCTAGAGGCAGACCTAGCTGTACCCGCCCCCTCCCCCGTCCGTTCCGCCAGTCAGCGATATACGATCAGACAGGGGAGGGGGGAATCCAGTCACTCCCAGGCTTCCTCCTGACATACCTGCACCCAATTTTATCTTCTGCCCCATGTGCTCCAAGATGGAGGCTCTGATAGTTTAGAGTTAGGACCGCACTATAAGAGGTGCCTTGGCGCGGCTGTGCGTCTTTCACATTTTCTGCAGAAGACGTGTATTCAAACCTCTGTTTCTAACCTTAGTGTGAGACAAGTTTTTTTTACATGCTAGCTTGTGAGTGTGCCAGGAAAACTTTTTGCTATTTTACTGTTTAAAGCCCATTCCGTGTGCACCTTACTGTAAAGCTGGTGACGAATTGATGAGTGCGTTTGTCATCTGTTTTGCTTTCCAGTCACTCCCCTGTCACGTCGCTCTGCTGTGACAGGATCGAGAAGTGAGCGAGCGCCGGTATGTGTTCGCTCACTTCCCGATCTACTGAGCCGACCTGTGACAGTTTCATTGTCACAGGTTGGCTAGAACTATGAGGATGAGTGAAAATCACTCACCTCATAGTTCTCCTTTAAGTAACACTAACAGGTCTTGTCCCTCCTCATGCCTGTGACTGGACAGTGAAAGGTAAAGCAACAGACTGAGGAACCATCAATCTTCTGTCTCCTCTCATCAGCATGTCTCTTGTTAGAAAATTATCACTGCATATGTGCATGAGATTCGGGGGGGTCTGGACACCTACTGCGGCATTCCTATGCACCCTGTTGCATTTTTTAGATATTTTTTTATGTTTATTAATGCAACAGGAGATGTAGAATATGCAAAGATGGCAAAAACACCTAAAACTAGGTGAAGGAGAATTATGGCAGGGAGTTTTCACTATTGGAGTATCCAAAACACATAAGAACTCTACCAGGGTTCATTTAAAGCTGAACTACACGGAAACTGCTAAATACACAGTAAAATACACATATGGGAATTGTTCTGCATGCCAAATGATTTGTATTTTTGTCCACCCAGTCCTGAGATTTAGAGGCAAGGAATTGAGATTATGCCTGATCCCCTGGAGGGTAGCTGATCTACAAAGGCCTTCCACAGAGCACAGCCAGGTGGAAGATGTTGGAAATGCAACAGCATATACTTATGTATTGTAATGCATATTTTGAGTTGTAGATGGCGCTGTAGTGCAATGTTAGTCTCTATGTGCTTGCTTATTTATGATACACAGGAAGTTCTTTTTTCTCTCTCTCTGTTTTCTGCACAAAGCTGTATACATATGTGTAATGTTTTACTAAGCAAGTAGAACTTAACTTAGCATTCCTCAAGATCTCAGGGCTTGAGCTAAACACATAACCAACAGGTGATAACCCTTTCTCTATCACAGTTTAAGAGTGAAGGAATACAGGGGTGCCATTTCTCCCCCTCAGCCTGCTGACTGGACAGTGAGACAGTAGCAGGTAACTGATCTGCTCTCTCTTCCTATCATCATATTTCTTTTGCATGCATCATGTACATTTGTATCCAGCACAATGGACTGGCTCCCTCCCTCTCCCAGCCTACATGAGGTACATATGCTGGTTGCATTCTAACAATGATGATGTATTAATGAACACATGGTTCACAGGCTTGTTCACAATAGCCAGACGTGATGGGAGCACCACTGCTGGGATACAAAGGGAGGAACAGTGCTGATAAGCTGATCCTATTTTTGTGTTAGAACTTTATTGAAAAGTCACAGTAATACTTCATTAGGTTCTATCAGCCACAGCGCGGTGCAATGCTTTTGCACTGTGCCGTACAACATTGTGCCGAAAAAAAAGAACTGCATGCCATACTTTTTCTGGGCACACCACCGCAGCGCAGTGGCATGAACTGGGCTGATTATAAAAAAGGCAATTTGCATTCATCTTTGTGTTGGGACTGGGCTGGAAAAGGCTGCAAGCACAGCCCCAATGCTCCTGGCGTGACCAAGCCCTAAAGCTTTAAAAGTCTCGGTTTTGGCTGGAGTAAACCTTTAATAAAACAAGCTGCAAGTCAATTAGTTTTAATCACATTATGCACATGGCCTTTGCCCTGTGCCTGCTGCATTCTAAAGGTGCCCATACACTGCACGATTCTCGTACGAGAATCGCGGGAAATCCCGCGATCGTACGAGAATCGTGCAGTGTATGGAAGGCGTGCGACCGTTTCTACTGTACGGTCGCACGTCTTCCGTCGAACCAGCAGGCTAGAAAACCCGCCGGGAATCGTACGATTCTCGGCGAGTTAGTGCCCTGCTTGTTCGACAACTGACGAACGGGCCGTTTGCCGTCCTCGCAAGCCCGCCCCTCATTGTAGTCATCGCAAGCCCGCCCCTCAAGGGGCAAGTACGATCTGTCTGTCCAAGATGGGCAGATCGTACAATTTTTTAAGTACTTTACAACCATCGCAAGACTAAGGTCTTGCGATGGTTGTACAGTGTATGGCCACCTTACAGCTGCCCATATACCTTACAAATATCGGACGATTTTTGTTTGCGATTGCGTTTTCGTACGATATTTGCAAGGTTGATGGGCAGTGTACAACCGATCGACTTTTGACTTTCCCGCAGCCTAGAAAACGTCTGGCGAACCGTACGAAATTCGCAAGGTTGGTGGAGTTTTCATACGTCAAAAATCGCATGATTAACACTGCTCATGAGCAAACAAAAATTCTTGCCGTCAATTAGCAAAATTCGGCCAGGTGATTTTGGAAACGACCGCTAATTGAACTGTGCGATGGTCGGTGCCTGATTGGGCCGCCGAACGAAAATCGTACGATGGCTCGATCATCGGATTAAAATATTAGTCTGATGATTGCAAGGTGTATGGGCACTTTAACCTGGCGTGTGTCAAAGTCTTTGCAGGAAAAGTGTCCTCCAGTCATGGTCATTATTTCATAGCATCCTGAGGTTTCCAATGGCATTGCTGATAGGTATACACAGCATTCCTTATTTCCAGTTTTTACTGGACTTTATTATCATCTGTGAAAATGTTTCACAAGAAAACCTGACCTTGGATATACTTATTTATAACACCTTGCACTTTCTTTAAAGCAGAAGGAATAATATGTACAGTAATCTCAGATAAGTTCAATACATACAACACTTTGAATACACAAATAGAAGCAGAATTTCCCACTGCCTTAAAATATTTTGGTGTAAACATTGACAAATACTTTCTCTGCATCACGCTAAATCAGGACATACAGTTCAAGATGGTCATACACAGGCCAGCCGCTTTGCTTAATCCTTGTAAACATTTCAATCCTTGAAATCTACTGTATGCCTTGTTTAGACTATGAATGAAGCATTGTTTGGGCCGAAAATCCATTTTTGTGGCTTTGATGGCTTAAAGCTGATGTTTACTCTGCTTATATTTTGCCACTCCTGCTTTCTCCTTTTTCCTTATCAGCATGCTAATGAAATGTTTGAATAAAACCTGTTTTCATCACATACCTTAATGTATACCCAGTAACATCATCACTGAGTCTCTGTGCTTCGCTATACAATACAGGCAGACCGTGGTTGGTGGTAGGGCCTGGCAGGGTGCTGTACACAGCTTTCTAAAAAATGCCTTGATGGGTGGATCCAAGGCAGGCGCCATTTACATGCAGACTGCTCTAGGTAATGGCTACATGTCATGCTAAGCCTTCCTGACTGAAAGAACTGAAATCCAATATATGAAACAGGTGGGCCAGGGAGAGTAAAGGTGCCCATACTGCTTACAATTTATCTGCAGATTTTCTGTGGACAGATGGAAAAAGTGCAACAGATTGGCCCAGGCGGAGATTACTCCATCCACACAGTTAAGTGTAGATGGAAGAATCTGTAACACCTTTTCCATCTGACCATAGAAAATCTGCAGCTAAATTGTAAGGTGTGTGGGCAGCTTAAGGGTGGGGAGGAAAGCGCTAGATGATACTGGATATCCTCCACCCAGGTAATGAGAAACCTGTAGTGAATAGTAGAATCAGGGTGTGCAATTTCAGTACAAGTGAGGGCCCTGTACAAATGTGCAAGACTGGAGGTAAGGCTGGAGATGAACAGATCTTATCTATTTGTTTAACCTTGATGAAGTAATGCCAAAATGAAAGTTACAGATAAATGATGGAAGAATTATGGAAGGCACAAACAGTGTTTAAAGTGTCATCTTCACCCGTCTCTCATCCATCTTATGAATAATTGAATCTGTTTTTGTTGGCTCACCTTCTTGATAAGCTTGATTAATAGCTTGGATCTCCTGGTTGTTTCTTGTGGCTAAGATTTCAATTAAGACTTTCTCATCTGTGCCGGCCCCCTGCAGATAAATGAACTTGTTATATTCGAATCTATTGACATTTGTCCACTAAAAAACACAAACAAATGATGGCGTAGCTGAAGCATTTAGAGAAAACTTTGTCATGAGCCTTTTATGAACAAGTCCCCCACTGTAGGAATATATTTCCGTATACACCAGCAATATAATTCAAGCATTTGCAGACAGTCACCTGACAATCTCCCAATGCCTGACATGTGAGTAACCATACTATTGGACCATGTGAGGTTGTCTAGGGATTGGATTGGCTGGAAATTCACAAAGATATTTTGTCATCTACTGTTTACCTACTATAGGCAGTAATGAGCATTTTTGTGATATTACCTGCAGGGTGTGTATGCATGTTGGGTGAGAAGAGTCAAACTAGAAGACCTAATTTTTCAAAACCTCAGATGCCTTTAAGGACTCCACTTAAAGTGCATAATAATAATAAGTGCAAATTAAGAATGAAAAAGAAAATACATTATAGGTAATAATCTAAGCCTCACCTCCACGGCTGTAAGGGACAGAAAGGGTTCATTTCTGCTCCTAAATGGGTGTGATAGTCAGGGCCATCTTTAATACTGATTAGATCCTGGGCAAATATTTTCTTGGGCCCCCCGCCCCATACCTGCCCCTCTCCCGCCATTCACCTTCACTCTCCAAAAGAGCAGATAGGGGGAGACGTCATAGGGGCATATCACCTTGTATGCGACATCACGCAGTCCCGTTAAGCTGCATACAGCAGTGGCGGAGCAACATTATGCAATGCGGATCGCATAGTAAACAGAATGGTGACGCGTGTGTATCTTTTGCGGGCTCCAAGGGCAGCTGCTTTGGGCCCCACAACAATGTCTGTGCCCAGGGCAGCCACCCCTTTTGCCCTGCGTTTAAGACGGCCCTGGTGATAGTACACAGTGGATGGAGCCAGGAGGAGGCTTCAGAGAGGAGTCCAGTGTTTGGACTGTTGCAGGGTTGTTTAATGTTCTGTAAAAGAGAGTAAGTGCAGGCCCAGATAGCCTTGTCTGCATAAGGAGTGCAGGAACACCCCAGGAGACAAGCATACAAAAACATGTCTAAGCAAATGCAGACCAAAAGATTTTACCTACAAAATATGCTTTGGTGACAACTATTTCCAGTATCTGTGGACTGCCTGTACCATTCCTGATGTCTGAGCTATGCTGACAAAATTTATGGAATGTGTCATATACTGTGGAGCAGTTCAGAACCCTTTTCATGTTTGCAGATACTATGGTGGGAATTTATCAAAACTGGAGCAGACAAAATCTGGAGCAGCTGTGCATGGCAACCAATCAGCTTCTCTCTTCAGTTTGTTCGGTTAGGATTTGAAATTGAAAGTGAGAAGCTGATTGGTTGCCATGCACAGCTGCTCCAGATTATGTCTGCTCCAGTTTTGATAAATTCCCCTCTGTGTATTGAGAGTGTCTGAGCGACTGGATACCACTATAGCTGGTTGCTTTTTATTTTTTGTTTGCATATGCTGTGCCATATTGTTCCTGTGAAGAGGCTAGCAGGAGTAGAATATACCACCATGCTACACATTGTCATATTTTGAGAGGTGAAATGGTTCCCTTCAAAGAACCTGAATGGGCTTGAATGTGGGCACATGGCACACGACAACCTATTGGTCATGGTGCTACTCTTATAACTCTTCCAACCCGTAGACCTCCCCCAACAAGGTCCCATGAGGTAATCATCCTCGTGTCAAGTAATGGAAGTCTAGGCTCTGGTACATATTGTCTTGTTAAGATTTATCTATTACTTTCTGCAATGTGTGTGTGTGTGTGTGTGTGTGTGTGCAGTGGAGGGGAGGGGGGATTAAGAGGGCTCCTTTTTGAAGCACTAGTATGTTCAATGGTCTATCTCTCTCACATTCAGATACATCCCTACTGTCTGATCCTTACACCCTCACTGCAGACCCATGGTATATTATAATGTAGTAAATCTGTAATGGGAAACAATTATTCAATGCTTCCAGCAAAGTAAAGTATTATATTTACCGCTATGGCTTTATTTAACTGCTTAGCGTCAAAGTCTGCAGGTGTCATCATGAGTCCCAGGATAAATTTGGACAAGATTCCAGAGAGCTCTGACTTCAGATCTGCCATAAGGTCCTACAAAAGATACAAATACTTTGTCATGTTAGTGAAATAGTATGCAGGTGTACTGATGCATAGAGGGCAAGCCGGGCACTTATACAAGAGAAATGAGATAATTCTCAATTTGCAAATGCTAGTTGCCTTGTTGTCAGGTCGATCCTTCTGTTTCAATACTTTGTCATTAACCCCCAACAAGTATGCTGATAAGGCCTCCAGACTTTACTCTGAGACTTCCCTGATATGTTCACCTGTTCCAGGTCATTTATTCAGAAAGCACTATAGATAGTGGATTTGTATGACAGACTGGCAATTGGCATTTTTAAAACAAGTTTAGCTAATGGCAGCTCCCATATTTCTCTTCGGAAGGATTTAATTTAAGCACCCATTCACTCTGGTCTTATGAGTTGGTGATGTGCTACTGAACACACGTTCATTTGCGGTACTTTGAGCATTTTGAGTAGAGCCTGCCAATGAACCGCAATGTATATTTTAACAAACATGCACTATTTGTATTAACACAGCACACCACAATGCGCAGGTTGTTTATATCTGTGCACTGTGGTGTACTGAAATGCAACTGTGTTGCGATGTGGTGCCTGGGTGCAAGAAGTGACATTCAAAGGCAGTGGCACCCCAACACACCACTTTTAGCTTTGCCTGTTAACATAGTGTGAATGGGCCCTTAAATGAGAAGTATTGGGAGAGAAAAATGTACTCTTCCCAATACTTTTAGCCAATGTGTGACACTGCAGCTGTCACATGTTGGCTCTATAGATCGGGAACTGAGCAATCACAAACCACTGATCACTCAGTTCATGGTCTTCTCCATGCAGAGTGTGGCGACTGTCAGTCAGTGCTCCCTGCAGGGATTCCCCCTCCTCTCTATTTCTCCAGTGTTCATTGAAGGGACAAACAGGGAAGGGGGCGGGCACAGCTGGCTCTGGCTCTAGAGAGCAGAGCCAGCTGTCAATCAGACAGCAGGGTGGATCCCAACAATATTGTTGGGACTTTCCTGTCTGCAGCGCATCTCTGCGCTGTCAGCATATATAGCAGGTAGTAGCCCGCTATATACTGAGTTTGGGTCACAGGAGCAGATTCGTAAATGTAGAGAACTAAAGTCCAAAACATGTTTGGCTATGGTTTTCTTGTAAATATATGCAATACAAGTGTCAATTTAAAGATGGTTAAAGGCCCCAACACACCTATGCATTTTATTGCACACATTTTCATGAACCTCAATGCAAGGACACAAGTTAGCCATGGTTTTACATGGTGCTAGTTCACATCTGTGCAATGCATTGCTGTTCACTGCCATTTTTTTTTAATGAATCGGTGTGCATTATAGGGACTAGTGTTGTGCAGACAAATGCAAGATTGTTGATAACATATAAAAACACATGCTCGGACAAATGTGAACCCAGCCTATATTCACATGTGTCCATTTTCTGTTTCAATATTAATACTTTTTTTTTAAAGGGGATATCACTATAACAAAACAGTACTTTGCAGTTGCTGCAGTATTACATATTCAACTGAGATACATTATGATGTGAGACAAACGACACAAAGACTAATATATGTGGATTCCTTATGACGGATCCGTTAAATAATTCCCGTGTGGGTTAATCCCCGTGTCCTAAATGGATAGCACAAACTTATATATATATAAACTGCTGACAAATAAAAAAACTTCCAAACACAAAACTGTATGAATTTATTAAGTTCAATATAACATGATAGTGTGTGAAAAAAAGTATTTGTGATTCCTTCTATTCATTCCAAATAATCAGTGTTTTTTCTTTATCTACCACCACCGTGTTCGTTTTAAATGTCTGAATGACGATTGTGAGTGCGGATCAGACGTTATAAAACACAAGTTAAGGAGAATATCCACCACCGTGTTCTTTCTCCTTAACTTGTGTTTTATAACGTCTGATCCGCACTCACAATCGTCATTCAGACATTTAAAACACAAGTTAAGGAGAAAGAACACGGTGGTGGATAAAGAAAAAACACTGATTATTTGGAACGAATAGAAGGAATCACAAAGACTTTTTTTTTCACACTCACTATCATGTTATATTGAACTTAATTAATTCATACAGTATTGTGTTTGGAAGTTTTTTTATTTATCAGCAGTTTTTATATATGTTTGTGTTATCCATTTAGGATACGGGGATTATTTACCGGATCATAGGAGTCCGTCACAAGGGATCCACATATATTATAGCGCAGTGTCGTTTATCTCAAATCATCTAAAGTAGTGGTATCACTATTTTATTGACACAGCAGCTTTCAATGCTTTTCACATCAACATAGCGTAGAGTTATATTATCACACAAGATACATTATGGTGTTCAATTGCACACTTGTCCATTTTCATGCAGAAAAACATACATTTTTCTGCATGTAAATGCATTTCAAGTAGAAATCCAATTGCTTCCTGTGTCTGCTATTCATCTATGTACTACAGTTTAGTGTGTTCTGAAAAGACAAATATATTGACCTGTTCACACCTACGCATATGCATTAGTACATGTGATACAACGCCTAAGACAAAGAACAGACTTACACGTCCAAAGTGTGACTTAAAAGCTTTCTTGATCTCTTGCCTCTGGGAATTAGAGCGGTTAGTGAGTATGTCGATGATGGTGCCCTCATCAGTACCTGTAGTAAAAACACCTTTACTTGACATGCAGCTTCTACTTCCTTTCACTTCACTTTTCTTATTTATTACTTTATTTGTCTCAAACTTACATACTGATACCAAATGCAAAAATTACACAAAACCAAGGTAAGCCTGATCATTCAGAGCCCCATAAATCTCCACTATCAAGAACCTGGTAAACTGATATAATACTGCTTATTCGAGGTAACCTTCCCTAAATCCCTATTTTGAGCAGTTCTTTTATTGTAGTCGGTATTATTAAAGTTATTCGATTGCCACCCTTTTTTCGAGGAATAGGTAGAAACACACTCATTTCAAATGTTAAATGTATACTTTTGTCCATATACCCAACCCACTTTTCTATTCCGTTATAGACCATTTGGCAGTTAAATAACATATAATTTAAATTTGGAATATGGGCCCCACACTTCAGGCAACTTCACCCTTCCAATGAGACTATTTAGCTGTAGAAAGAAAGATAATATTAAACGTTTTAGGTATATTTATCTGAGGTCAGCTCTTACAACCATTTCACAGACCTTCTTATAACCTTCCTCTATTAATTCTCCTAGGTTTCTCACCTTGTGAAAAGTATTCCTCCACTTTGCATTATATAAATCTTTTTCTTTTTATGGTTAAAGATGGTTATTAAATCCCTCATGAACTGGGAAGTTTTCCAGAAAACTTAGCTTAGCTTTCCCTGGCTATTTAAACATTTCACTTTGATTGTTTTTATAACATCAACTACTTGCCTATAGGAGAGGTTTAGACTATTAATGATACCAAGGTTTTCTCCAAGTATTTTAAATGGAATACAATTTACTTTTTAACCCAGGAACTTTGACAATGAGGAATAATCCTGTTTACCCCATTCCCTCTAATAGACAAATAATATGAATTGAGAAACTAATGTTCCTGGTATTCCAAATCAGATTCCAGGTGTCTCTAAAAAGGGTGCTCCACTTATTATCCTAGGGCATTCATTTTTCTTTGCATGTAAATACATTATAATAAAACCTCCTTGGTTAATTGAGGTTGCAGATTCAATTCAATTAAGTTGTCATTTTTTTGAAAGCCAAGCAAAAGCAATTCCTACCAAGGCACTGGTATTATAGCATGTGATATTTAGGAGTCCCAACCTAATCCACTTAGATGTTGGCATTAAACCATTAATTCTGCTCTTTTTCTCTCCAGAGGAAACATCTAATTCCCTTTTTCAGTCTTAACATATACAGGTGAAACTTGAATAATTAGAATATCGTGCAAAGTTCATTTATTTCACTAAGGCAACTTAAAAGGTAAAACTAATATATGAGATAGACTCATTACATGCAAAGCAAGATAATTCAAGCCGTGATTTGTCATAATTGTGATGATTATGGCTTACAGCTCATGAAAACCCCAAGTTCCACAACCTCAAAAAAGTAGATTATTACATTCAAATAATAAAACAAGGATTGTACATAGAACAATATCGGACCTCTGAAAAGTACAAGCATGCATATGTACTCAGTACTTGGTTTGGGGCCCTTTTGCAGCACTTACTGCAATTACTTTTGCACGATATTCTAATTATTCGAGTTTCACCTGTACTCTGCATTAATCAAAATGAGTAAAGACTGCAAAAAATACATCAATCTTTGTAAAATATTAGATTTTATTACATTCCTTGCCCACTGAAAGATAGCGGTAACCCTACCCATTCCTTCAATAATTTAAGCACAGCGTCTATAGTTGGGAAGTAATTAAGACCATATATCTTTACCCAGCTATTAGCAAAGTATAATCCCAGATAATGAAATATATGTATTGACTCCCTTCCAGAAGGAATATACCCGCTGCATATATTATATATTACTTAATATGCCCATATATATATGAAAACATAGATATTCTGACTTGTCTGCATTAATCCTTCATCCTGCAAAGGATCCAAATCTTTGAATTAAATCTAAAATCTTAGGTAAATACAAACTTGGTTCAGAGATGTAGTAAAACCACAGTATTTTCATCAAAATAAATTGGTGATGAAAGTGGCCATCCCTGTCTAACCCCTCAAGATCTTAATTGTTTTAGACATAGATCCATTATCAACCTTGCATTGGAAGTCTGATAGAGGGTCTTAATCAAATGCTCTGGAGTCCTGTCTCCATTTATTGGTAAAATGCAATCAGCACAACAGCCAACAGTCACATTGCTAGGACTTCTAACAAGTTTCATCTAAAATGCCTTAATCATAGCTATTACTTTTGAATTTGCATTAACCTGTTAATGATTATTGGAGATTTTAGTGATTGTTTCTAGATTTACTTCAAACACGAGTGGCTAATGCCTGAGGTTGCCAGGAGCTAATGTCAATAATAAAAAGCCTGTCCTCCCTCCGATACCTGTACACATGCTTCCTATATTCAAGAGGTTGATGCCAGGTGAAATTGAGGTACTTGTACAGCTTGCATTTAAAAAAATACGGTATATTCATGAATACAGAGCTACATTTATTTCTATCTTTTATATCTGCCTAAAGTTCAGCTTTAATTACTTATCTGAAATTTTCACATGCAACATGTTTCACATGAAATATTCACATTAGTCGTTATCACAGTGGATACATAAGCTTGTGGGCATTCTTACCAAAGCCTTTCATCGCTTTCCTCAAAGCCTTGCCATCACCATCGGCATTAAAGTCAGCAGCAGGAAATACGGTACCTTTCAACTGAAGGAGAAATTATAGACATCAACTTACACACCTACTAACATTGGGTTTCAGAGCTTATTATTCTCTGTAACTCTGTGTTATATTGTTTTGTTATGGAAAGTTACAACCATGCATTCATTAAAATGCTCTGTTATTAGTTTTCTGCTCAGGTTCTATTTACACCTCTGCATTTTACGTGCACTGGAAAAAGTTCTGTTTGTAGCATGTTTAGTCGGATTTTCAGCAAAATGCTCATCATATAGGGATGAAGAGGACTGGGCTGGATGGCCAGGATTGGGCTGAGGGGGTGGGGGGACCTGCTTTGGGTACTATGCTGTGAGGAGCCACAGCCTTTACTGACTCCACACCCCCACATTTTGGTATCTCTGCCTTGGGTGCCGAGGGACCTTGTCTCACCACTGAAGGTACCACATGTAAAACACACCTGAAATGCATAAGGTGCCTACAACACACTGTTGCACAACAGAATGTATAGGTGTTAATACGGCCTAGCTGTATTGAAGATCCTTGATGGACATCTGATGGATATCCAACAGTTATTTGGGCATTAGCAGTGCACAACTGTCATGACAAGTCACAATAGCTCACTCTGGTGTCATAATCAATTAGTTGTGTAATAATAGCTCACTGGGGTGGCATGATAGTTCGGCCTGGTGTCCTATTAGCTCAACTTGTGACTTAATTACATACTCTGGTGTCAGAAAAGCTATATAATTTAGCTTCATGTAAAAATAACTTATCCTGGTATCATAATAACACAGCCTGGTGTAATAATTACTAAGCCTATTGTTGCATTAGCCCACTCTCGTGTCATAATAACTCACTTTGGTATCATAATTAGCTTGGAGTTGTTTTAGCTTACTCTGGTGTAATTATAATTTACCATGGGGTCATAATAATTTAACCTGGTGTTATAATGACTTATCCTTGTGTTGAAATAGCTCACCCTGGTGGCATAATAATTGACCCTGGTGTCACAATAGTTTACCTTACCCTGGTATCATATTAGCTTACCCTCGATTCATAACAGCTCATCATGGTTTCATAATAGTTTATTGTGACATTATACCAACCTACACTTTCTTTATACTCAATGATCATATAGCAGCATCATAAAGGATTAACTTTGCTTCAAAATAACTAACCATGACTTCAAAAAAATTCACTTAGGCTCCATACAGCTTATCCTATTAAACTAATAACTTGCCCCAACTCCATAGTTGCCTTCCAAAAACTAACCAAGCTCCTTTGTTTCAACTAAAGAAATGTTTCAGATCATGAGCCATAATGCCATAATTCCTTGTTTACATGGATGCTAAAAGGGGCAGTTTCAGTACCCACCAAGTGCCCACAACAAAAGGGTAGGAAAGGCCATACTGAGCTGAATGGCTCAGTTAAACTTTACTGTTGGTCATGTGTAGCAGGAAGCGGGTAATGAAGAAACCCTTCATCATAGTGTGCCTTCGATGTATTCTTGTATTATTATAAAGTGATGCTTTGAGACGGGAATAGTGAAGTAAAAAACAACAAGAGACAGAGTACACACAGAAGTAATGGCCACTTGGGGCATCAATTACAGTAGCTAAATACCTTTTTCTAGTTATCATAAACACATTATTTACTTCATCTAATGAAGCAAGTCAATTTGATTTGTCTCCTTTGGGAAATGTCAGGCAGCCATTCTAGTGTAACAAGATTTTCTTAATTGAAAATTGCACTTTTCTGTTCTTGATTTACAGCTCTGGCACAAAATAATAATTCCCTGGCTTCATAGGAAATATTCACGTACAGTAATAAAAGTCGGCAAACCTTTATTTGTATTTGTTTGATAGCCAATTACCGAAGCTCTGTCCGGGTTTCAATGGGAATCATTTACATAAATCCTTTTCAAAATAGAAGCATCTTGTGAGTATTGCTTTTATTAGTGGGAACTGTCATTCTTAAACTTTGCTTTTATTAGATTGTCACATTGTGATTTTCAAATGTGAATTGTAAATAAAAACTAGGTATTTACCTTCAATCTTATAGTATATCTAAAGAATGTAGGGGGGGTTGGAACTTCTGTAAAGTTTTTTTGCTGGGTGTGTTCCTGTTGGGGAGATTCGCCCTCTTTGTGTGTTCTGAGTACCATTGCAACTAGGAAAGCAATTCATGGGGAATCCAAAATGTTACAGCGGTCAAAAGAATAGGAATAAAGGGGAAATCTTCCAATCAGGATGCCTGAATAGGTGACAGCTATCTAATAGGGCTTTTCCCCTTGACTTTACGGATACCTTGAATTCCTTTTCTGTTGAGTCACTAGGACAGGAAGGAAAAGGAAACCTCAGAGAAAAAAAAATTGCCATAGGCTGCAGGTGCATTTAAGATCTCTGCAGACAGACTACTGCTTCCATACAGAGAGCAAGGGTGTTTCTCTTTAGCATGCTGGCAGGACACAGGTTCTTCTACTCAGACTGTGGCTGCTTTTTAAAGAAAATAAACTGTAAAACTTTGTATGCCTTTTGTTTTGATGCACCTGAAATTAGTTGATTTGAACTAAAAGTTGGGCTTTAATCTAAAAAACACCATCGCACAAAGTGATCCATTCACACATCAGAGCTGGTGCTGAAGTGTGTTTGGTTGTAAGCTCCCAAGCTCCTGCATGGATAGGTGTCTTCCAAAGACACCCTGTGGCTACATCAAAACTGCACTTTAATATGTTTACAGCACACATGTCTGAATAAAGCCTACCACTGCCCAGCTGGTACCCAATCTTGTGATTCTTTTTAAGGCGTTGGGCATATGGTGTCTGCCAATAGGAAGGATCAAAATTCTGAAAAACCATGTGACCAGTTTTATGACAAGATCACATGACTGGGAAGAGGGGAAAAGTCAACATTTCACTGACATGCAGTTTATATTCCAATTATTTTGTATTTTGCAAGGTAACAACTTTAAGGCAGGTCGCTTCAATTTACAGCTTCAGTCTGCTATATTCAGTATACTAGAATGTCCATCTGGCATGTCCCTTAAGCTGGCCACACATTGAATGTCGGACATGCCTTTACCTCAATTTTTCAATCAACTGGTCGACCAATTTGAGTATTCTGATAGCTGCTGGTGCCGGCTGTCAGAATACAATACCTGTCAGGGAATATTATCACATTCATGCTGTTTAGTGTATGGCCAGCTTTAGTCTTGGCATTCAATGGAAAATACAAGGAATAAGTCAGGATTTCAGAGACAGATACAAAGATTGGTTATAACTGAGTTTGGACAAATCAGTTTGTCACACTTCAAATAGCATTCCACATTCAATCAGAATAAACAGGTAGAAACAGAAAGTGACCACAATGCATCGCTCTCTTATGCCTGAGCCAGAATGCATTGGAAAGACTGAAAAGCAACATAAAAATCAAACAATTACCAGTGCTGTTTTATGAAGAAGCAAAGTGTTAGCAGGATATCTAGTACAACTTAAGAAACAAAATTAAATGGTTAGTGGAAGCACGCGTGTTAGCTTTTTTTAAATAAAAGCCCTGTAATGACAGAACAATGTAGGTTTCCATTTCTAATCTCCTTCTGAATATGCTAGCTACATAGCCATCATGCTGATCCACTGACTTCATTACTTTCTGAATCACTGATCCAGAACAAGTATGCCGATCGAGAGTTCCGACACTGATATCAGTATACTTGTTCAGTGATTCAGAAAGTATTGAAGTCAGAGGACCAACAGGACAGACAGCAAAATAACATTTTCAGAAGGAGAAGAGGAAAGACAACTCACATATTTCTCTCAGTACAGGTCTGAGGCAAGCAAGCAGCAAAAAGGGAGGCTGGGAGGCTACTAGCTGGGTTATGGCGGCCTCTAAGCAGTAGGTGCGGTAAAAGAAAAGGGGGATTTCATTCTGTATTCCAACCTCGGTACGTGAAGCAAGTGTCGCACTAAGCTCCCATTTCTGATAGGCTGCTTGGGCGGCTTCTGGGAAAAACTCCCCAGCGGCACTAAAAAGATGAAGAGGAACAACTTACATGGGAGGTTAAGACTGAAATTCTGGAATCAATAAATAACAGAGTGAGGAACAGTGTATACAGCAACCCATGGCAACCAAGCCAAACCAATCAGATTGCAGCAGCCCACCATGACTTGAGTGGGTATAGGATGACTTCTGATGAAATAGGTTATTGCATATCACATTCACAGCAATAATTGCATTGCTTGAAATGATCAGGTCCGGCTCTGCTACCCAAAGGAAATATGAAGACTGCCATTGATGACCTCTTTCTGAAAAATGCTAGCTGCCTGGGTGTTGCTTGCCTATTTTCTGAGTCGCTGACCTAGAACAAACTTGCCCATTAAAAAAGTCAGAGCAAAGTCAAAACTCCTAATCTGCATATTTGTTTCAAATTAGTGACTCATGGTGAAATATAGCCATTGGATCAGCATGACTCACAGACTATTAGCCTTTTCAGAAGAAGAGGTCACCGATACACGGCTCTTAGTACAGGCTACTTTTAGGTCACATTTACACTTGTATGTGTGTGTTGTAGCACATGTCCATGCTGAATGGCACATTGAAAGTGGTTACAACAGTGTGCGGGCTATGGGGTGCAATGTGCAAACAGGCACATGACAAAACAAACCCGCCTGACCTTCAGCGCACTGCAAAGCAAGCAATAAAAATAATGTGTTGCCTTGCAGTTTGCTGGAAAAAAGAGGTCAAATGTTGCTAGTAGCTAGTAGTAGTTAGTCACATTCAACTGGACTTGTTCTGTAATGCTGAAAACTTTTCATAACTGTTGAATCTGACAAACTACTACCGGCGATACCATGATCTGGATAACTGAGAACAAGTCAAGTGTATTTTTCTGGTCCATGTACGTGGCTTAGGAGCCCGTTGCAACACACAATGAATGACATGCCAAAAAAACACACATCAAAGCACACAAAAATGTGAATGAGCCCTAAATCCAGCAGCATAGCCGAAAAAGGAGCTGTTGAAGCCTCTGAAAGGAAGAATCACAAGAGTCTCTATAGTTCATTATGCATGTTTCTATCATTCTTTATAGAGTCTTGATTGGTGGTATGTGCAGGCTAACAGCAACTCTGCATATACATCTGACAGCAGTGCCAACAATAGGACATTCTTATTTTAAAATGACACTAAACTCAGGACTAAAATCTTATAAATGCATTCAAGTACCAGAACTATGAACATAAATGTATCTTATTTGTGTATCACTCGGCTGTAGATTCTCAAATCATCTCTGATTCATGCTGACACTGTCCTTTCTTCTGAAGGGTGGCTACCCTGTGTGTGTTGTAAAGTAGCCACCGCTCCAACCTCCCTCCTGTGATAGACTATAACTTCAACACTTAGTCAATAGTTAGGGTACTTGAAGCATTTTTAAGACTCAATTCCTGAGTTTAGTGTCACCACAATGTTTTAAAATTGCAATTGAAAAACTGGATGTGATACAGAGGGAGAGCCTGTACAAAGGGGCATCAGCATTTACCTGGGAGTGCACAATCCATATATACTGCCCTTTGCACTATGATTGTTATTAGGGATGCACTGATACTGTTTTTTCGGTATCGAGTACGAGTACCAATACTTATCTTTCGTTACTCGCCAAGTACCAATAGTGGTACTTCCACTAGCATGGAGCTAGCTTTCCATGCAATCAGGAAGCCGGGCGGCGTGTCATTACCCGAATCCCAGTTTCTTGATTGCTCCATGCTGTATGACCGACTCGATGCTGTTTGGCCGGTAAAGCCGGCTTCCCAGCCAATCAGCATCGAACAGGCTCTTTGACTGGCTCAATGCCGATTGGCCGGAAAGCCAGCCTCTTGGCCAATAAGCATCGAACCAACCAAACAGCATGGAGCTGGTTTCCTGGCCAATTAGGATGCCATTATCCAGTGCCCGAAGTCATTACCCACTGCCCGGCTTCCTGACTGGCCAGGAAGCTGGCTCCATGTTCCCCTTGCGGCACTGCCGGTAAGAGGAAATCTCCCTCATTACCCACCACCTAGCTTCTTGATTGCCGGGGAAGCCGTTTCAATGCTGTTTGGACAGCTCGATGCTGAATGGCCGGAAAGCCGGCTTCCCAGCCAATCAGCATCGAACAGGCTGTTTGACCGGCTCAATGCTGATTGGCCGGAAAGCCAGCCTCCCGGCCAATAAGCATCGAACCGGCCAAACAGCATGGAGCCGGTTTCCTGGCCAATCAGGAAGCCACTACCCACTGCCAGAAGTCATTACCCACTGCCCAGCTTCCTGACTGGACAGAAAGCTGTCTCCATGTTCCCCTTGCGGCACTGCCGGTAAGAGGAAATCTCATTACCCATTGCCCGGCTTCTTGATTGCCCAGGAAGCTGGCTCCATACTGTCTGGACGACTTGATGCTGAATGGCCGGAAAGCTGGCTTCCAAGCCAATCAGAATCGAGCAGGCTGTTTGACCGACTCAATGCTGGTTTGGCAGGAAGCCGGCCTCCCGGCCAATCAGCATGGAGCCAGCCAAACAGCATGGAGCCGGCTTCCTGGCCATTTAGGAAGCCGGGCGGCAAGTCATTACACGCTGCCTGGCTTCCTGACTAGCTGAGAAGCCAGCTCCATGTTCCCTCTGACCGGAAGTTCCGGTATCGGGGGCAAGTATTGGAGCATTTGGGCGAGTACAAGTACTCTCCAAAATACTCTGTATCGGCACCGATACTAGTATCTGTGCATCCCTAATTGTTATTAAATAAGGATTTTGGAATATCAAAAACAGTAACCATTTATATAAAATAACACTGTACACAGTATTCTGTAAAACAATAACATATAAGCTGCTGATACGTACTCGTCATCTCCTCCACACAGGTTGAGCAGAGCCTTCTTGTACTCACCAGATGTGTCATTCTGAAACAATTACAGCAAACAGGTAAATAAACCTTACAAAATATCCATTCCAAACGGTTTCTAACTTTTTTTAACGGTGTCCATACATGTGCAGAGAAAGGTAATCTCTATACCATTTCTAGATTTAAAATTCGCCCCTTTTTAACAAACGAAACTGCAAGCATTTTAATTCACTCCCTTGTAATCTCCCGCCTTGACTGCTGTAACTCCCTCCTTATTGGCCTACCACTGAACAACCTGTGCCCCCTTCAGTTTATCATGAATGCTGCTGCCAGACTCATCCACCTTACCAACCGTTCAGTGTCTACCACCCCTCTCTACCATTCTCTCCACTGGCTCCCAATTGCCCAACGAATACAATTCAAAATACTAACAACGTACAAAGCTATCCACAACTCTGCCCCCCGCTACATCTCCAACCTCATCTCAAAATATCACCCAAATCGCTCCTCGCAAGACCTCCTGCTCTCTTGTCACCGTCTGGCATGCTCACCTCCAGGATGTCTCCCATTCTCTGGAACTCCCTACCCCAATCTGTCCACTTATTTCCTACGCTGTCCATCTTCAGGGAAACCTATCCCACGGTTCCACCTCAACATAACTGTCCTTTTACTTCCGTTCCCACTAACTCCACTAACTCAGTCTAAACAATTATTACATTTTGTATCACTTGCCCCTCCTACTAGATTGTAAGCTCTCACGATTAGGGCCCTCCTAACCCTATTGTACTGAAATTGTTTTGTAACTGTACTGTCTCCCCCATTTTGTAAAGCGCTATGCAAACTGTTGGCACTATATAAATCCTGTATAATAATAATTCTTCATGGAAATTTTGCCACCACTAACTATCATAAATGTCAGATATCAGCTTAGAGATTGACCCATCAATTGGAGAATGTACATAGTTCTCATACAATTGTTTCTGTTATCCCACTGTTGGCACAAACTTCATTGCAAATGGGACACGTACAGATTACAAAAACTGACGGGGTTTTAGCCCTCCCCTATTCTACTGAATACTAAAAAACAAAGCCATGGCTATACATACACTTTAATGTAATATATTCTTTGTCCTTACCATGTAACAGTAAATCCTTCTTAGAACAGAAGGTATTTACATCTCTCATTCCATCACATATCCCAAAAATAAGAGTATTCCTCATTTTAGGACATTGGGGAAAACCATGCAGATTATGCCTTTATGCCCCAATGACCTAAAACACACCCAGAACTGTTGGTGTACAGTGCTAATACTATAGCCTAATATAATAGAGACATGTATTCCAAACTGCATACAGCTGTTACAGGCTTTAAGCTCATCATCCTTGCAGTGTATGGAAATCATGGGTTCTATGAAATAGAGCTTGGGCCCTAATGAGACAGTTTACCAATTAAGGTTATAGTGAAGACTCACTAGAAATAGAAATACTGCATGACTTATTACTAGCTGTATTGCACAATTTAAATCAAATTACCTTGATCATAGAGTACAAAGACTTTTCATATTGAGTCCGGAATGACTCCCTAATGTCCATCATATCGATCTCGCTACGAGACACCATAATTCGGATCAGGGTGTTGTCTGATGTGCCCAGACCCTGAAAAATAAAACAGATTTAATTTTGCTACAATTCTTAAAACATTGTAATGTTCAAACTGAAAGGAAAATTCACAAAAACTGATAAGAAAATGTCACGCATCAGTTTTATCCCATTTATTACCAAACGGGTGATACAGTGAGCAAGCAATACGGCAGGTTACAGTTTGGCATAATAAAAACCATGAAACATCCACCCTGTTTAGGATCTTGCTTACATCAGCACATTTTCTTGTATGTAACACACCTGAGATTACATAGATCACTGAAATAACACCTTAACAATAACAATAAAATACTTTTTTTTTTAAAAGTTAAAAATTGTTATACTAGCCTAAGAAGATCTGTTTTAAATGGCTGTTTTATGGCCAACTCATTAAATAGCCACACCCAACTTTTCTCTAGCCCCACCCCCTGATACTGCCATATATGGCAGAGCAGACAACAGTTGTGTCATTGAGTAGACTACTTCACTTACCTTCATTGATTTGTACAGTCTGGTAGCAAAGTAGTCCTTGATGCTACGAGTGCATTTTACTGAAACAAAAAAGAAACATAATATGGGTAAATAAACAGAATTCAGCTTTGGTGTCCATATAATTCTTATATTTTTGCAAAGCTTATTATGTTCTCTCAACAGTAAAAATAATTGTTTTAAATACATTTTTCAGGTCAACCAGATTTCAAGAGCCACAATCTTAGTCCACATACTTGGCCTAAATCTGGTTTCTTTAAAGGTGGTTAAACATTTAATAAATCCATTTAAGATGTTGGGTTGATCATTGCAAGAATGGTGTGCAGCGCCATTTAGATTTCTCTTGAGGACGCAAGCGTCGGAGTGACTTCTGTTACTTGGAAAGGGTTAGCCAATTACTAAAGTACTTACCTACAGAAAGCATCAGCTTCTGAAAATCTCCAGAAAGCTCCCCCTTGATACTCTCCTCAATGCTCTTCCCAGCAATTTTCTCATACTCATCAAACACTGCAAGAGAAGACATATTCTAATAAAGACCAATACATTTAAAGCATAAGGGACTGTATATAAAAGTAATTATAGATATTCATACCAAATCTATGTAAATGCCCCTACTTATTGAGAGCACATAGAATGTTTACATTTTCATAATGGATGTGTAAAACCCACCCACATTTCTGACTACTGCTTATTAGCTGGGGTTCTAAGAGAAGAACTTCCAATCCTTGAACTTCTTCCAGACAGCTTATTAATATCCCCACTTAGTAGCTCCAAGGATAATACTTGTCTTTCCTGAAAATTCATTGTCATTCAGTAGAATTGTTATACCATATTGCCAAGAACTGGCTTTCCAGAGGGAGCTGCACTCTCAGCACTTCTTTCCGATGTGGTAGCCACAGAACTGGGATACCACATCACAATTGATACAGCTGGCTGGTGAGGTTCTGATACCCCTGATTAATAGTGATGCTGATGGGGGCAAGGTCTTACATTTTTAATATCCTCTTTAAGAGTAAAGTGAAGACCCTTTTCAGTTACTCATGGTAAATAGGCATTAGCAAATCCATTTCTGCAAATTGACTTTATTGCAATTTTCCACTGACGAGATGCCATTTTCAGACTGCTGCCTCTGCTTAGCTTCAGAAACAGTATTAAAGTAGAACTCCAGGAAGACAGCAAAGTACACAGTTCAGTTTACATACATGTGTATGAATGATTTTTCATGCCAAAGGAATTATAATTCTGTGCAGCCAGTCTTTTTATGTACACATATCTGCCACACTGCACAGCCAGCTAGGAGACACACTTATTGCTACAAGAGTAGCACTCACCAAGTTGAAGATGTGACTTGCTCCGGCTTCCCAAAATAAAGATGAACTCAGCCTCATCTGTTCCCCATTTTTGTTCTCCAGATTCAAATAAATCCTGCACACAAAGGTAATAATAAATGATGAAATGAAATGAAGAAGGTGGAAAGAGCAAATCTGAAGTGCACAGTGAACTAGCCCACAACCAATCCGATATCACTTTAGAGACTGGTGACTGAACCATGAAAAGTGATTTGTTGCTGTGACCTACTGCTACAGTCACTTTGTTTATTTTGCCTTACTAAATGGGCCTGAAAGTTCTCTGTCTGAATTAATAACCTGTGGATGGCATCAGATTCACTAACCAGGTTTACTTTGTTGTCCAGGTAATGCTATGCTGCTAAGTTAATTATGTCACACAACACTGTTACAGTCGTTTTTGGGATTGCCTAAACATTTCTATGGGCATAGCTGCATACCCAAGTGCCAAGCCACTCCATTGCTATGTATTACCATACATAGCAATGGAGTGGCTTGGCACTTGGGTATGCTAGGGAGTTAGGGGCTAGGGAGTTTTGAGACAATACAATATCTGAAGGGGTGAACGTTGTATAGCATTATTACAAAAAAACAAAAACACAATGTGAACAGTAGTGATGCTGTGCAATGCTGAGCCAATAAGATTTTATTTTTCAGCATTTTGAAAAGGTCCAAACAGCAAAATCTTTTTACAGGCAATGGTCAGAAGCCTGTAGAGGGAAATGTAAAGTATATTCTAAGTTACTTTTGCAGTGTTTCGTGACCACAGGTCCATGAAGTATAGATTTCCAGGCTTGATTTACCAGCATCAGTGTGTGTCAGTTAACCTGACTATAACTCTAAGACAAATTTACATACCTAATCAATTTTTAGAAAAATTAAAGGGCATATAAAGTTTTTATTTTGTATAATGTTTTAATAAATACCCGAGTTAAAAAATGGACAACAATATTATAAGTAATATATAATCAAAACAATATTTGTAATTCATTTGGTAATACTAATACTATGTTATAGCTGACATAGTGATCGCGTGACCAGGAACCACTCTGATGATCCAGAACGGACAGTGACAATTGGGTTTGACATCTGTTAGCTGTGCATAGTGATGGCTGCTAGCTGTCATATGGAAACGTATATACAATTTTTTTACATTAATCTACAGATTGCAAATGGTATGGAGTTAAATGCAACAACTGTATTCTATTGCACAGCAGCAAGCTGTGTCTGCATAAGTAATGTGCAAATATAGCTCCTTCCAATGGGCAATCTATATATAGAAACGCATTTGTAAAAATGAATTCACATTGACAAGATTATTTACTAAGCATGCGTATCTAATTCACATATATTTTAGAAAAATCGTTAAAAAGGTATAAATTTGCTCTAAATGTAGCAATAAAACTTGTTTTGATTAAATCTAAATATTACCCTGGCATCTTGTTCTACTAATTCATCGCTCACAATGTCATCCTCTTCCCTTGTACCCTGCAGTCGAATAAAAACAGCACTGTGAATCTTAAACTTTTCTTATCAGTTATATCTTTTACTTTAGATAGGAGATGTAAAATAAGTACCAAGGAATATAAAACATACACATTCACCAGCACAAAAACTAATATGAAAAGAAAAAATAGGAAACATGTCAGAAAGTAAGCCTGAAAATGCTTAAAGTGACATTAAACCCTCAGATTTTGTAACATAAAACAATACTGTAATGTGCGCCTTACTGTAATCCATGGTTGTTTCCCTTCTCTTTGCTGCTCTTCCTTTTAAATCTGTATCTGTTCTCATGCTGGGCAGAACTTCTGTTTTGCAGCAGACTGCCGTGTCTCTGAAATGGATACATGGTGTCTGTGTGTAGGTTCACAACCTGAGCCTGCACTACAGGAAGAGGCACTCAGTTGCAAAGGGAAGTTCTCCCCCTTTTAAGGAGGTGGGGCGTCCTCCTGACAAGCCTGCACCCAATTTGATATCTTCTGCCCCATGTGCTCTAAGATGGAGACTCTCATAGTTTAGAGTTAGGACCGCACTATAAGAGGTGCCTTGGCGCGGCAGTGCGGCTTACACATCCTTTGCAGAAGACGTGTATCCAAACCTCTGTCATTGTCCTTAGTGGTGAGACAAGTTGTTTTACATGCTAGTTTGTGAGTGTGCCATGATGCCTTTCTACTGTTCTACTGTTCAAAGCCCATTTCGTGTGCACCTTACTGTATAACTGGTAACAAATTGTTGAGTGCGTTTGTCGTTTGTTTTGCTTTAATATAAATTGACACAAAAAAGTAATCCCTAATCTGTGCCTTTGGCAATAAACTCTAAGGCCCCATTCACATTATGCATTGCGTTAACTGTAAAGGTGTAATGAGGTAAAATGGGTCTAAACTGAAAAGTGAACCTTTGCTTTGTTATATGGAACATTTGAAATGTTAATTGTGCCTAAGCAGTACTCTAAAAATGTAGCTTTTGTCTGTAATGCCTCCTGAAAAATAGTGGTGCACTTCCTGGTATATGAGGGTTTCTAGGCACTCCTTGGTCTACAGCCTCATAGCTATATATCTGCAGTGTGAGATCTAAGGCATTGCTGCCTCTGACTGCGAGTCTCTTGAAATTTGGAGTGAGATTACATGATAATGTCACTACTGTGCTGATCACTGTTCTCCTTGCCAGAGGCTTTGAGGAAGCAAAACCCTGCCTCTAACAAGATGGCTGCCTCCACACAGAGAGACATTGCAGAACAGATGAAGTGAAGTCAGTAATGGGGAAAGATCAACAGGGAGACCAAAGGCAATACTGGTGACTAGTTCTTTGCCCTCTGCCTGCCTTTTTTGGGCACAGCTTCCAGAGTTGCTGTACGAGCGGGAAACTGTCAAAATTTGAAACAGCCATCAATGGCTGTTTACATACAAGCGTTCTGGCGTCTGTAGAGCTATCACTTGTTGTGCTGCTTCGTGAGCCTCCCTCCTCCACTGCCGCCAATTCCAAGCTCCGTGATCGGGCCTGGGGCTGGCATGGCGGCTCTGTGCAGGGAGACCAGAGGGAGTTCAGTACACGATCTCCCCTCCAGTGTTGTGAATGCGGAAGTGATGTCAATTACATCACTTCTGCATTCAGCTGTCATTCTCCGGTTACAGGAGCCGGAGAGAAGCTGGTGAAGCAGATCTCTGCTTCATCAGCTTCTTTGGGGGTCCCTAGGTGACATTAGGTTTTTATGGAGACATCAGGGTCTTCAAGACACCTAATGTCTCCATAAAAAGGACCTGTCACTGCCATTTGATATCACATAGGAGGCTTCTTAGCCCCCTATGTAATAACAATAAAGTTAAGTGTAAAAAAAAAAATTAAGAAAAAAAAACACAAAAAATGTTTTCAGTACAGCGCTGCATGACGGAATAAATGTCAGTTAAAGTAACGCAGCGCTGAATACTGAAAAATGGCCTGGATGGGAAGGGGGTTTAACACCGCGGATGTCAACCGGTTAAAGTCCCCCGCCCCCACATACATAAGCAAACATGCGTTGGGTGGGCCTATGTGCAAAAACATTGATTGCGCCCATTATGCTGCACATGTTGCATATCACCACGAACGCCAGAGTGCGAGCGATAAATAAATTATAGGACCACCAATCACTGTTAACACTAAACTGATCAGCGGTAAAAGCTTTTAAAGTGTCGCCTATGACCAATTTTGGGTATAGTCGTTTTTTGTGATTTGGCGGGCGCGTGCAATTTTGAAGCTTGACATCTTTGGTGTCTATTTAACTGACGTGACCCCGTCTTTTATATTTTACCAAAAAATTGGGCAATAATAAATGTTTCATAATATAGGAAAAACAGTTTTTTTTCAAAATGTTCAGTATTTTTTGTTATATAGTAAAAACCCCAGTGGTGATTAAATACCACCAAAAAAAAGCTCTACGTTTTCCCACAACATGATATAAAATGTATTTCACTACAGCGCTGCCTGACTGAATAAATGTCAGTCAAAGAACCGCAGCGCTGAATTCTGAAAAATGGCCTGGACAGGAAGGGGGTGTAAACACCCCAGTCAGCAAGTGGTTAATGCAGCACATAACAACACGGTATGTGCATTGTGTAATTGAGTGTTACCTGCTACTGTAATAGAGCATGGGGGTGCCATTCAAAATGAGTAGCACAGAGATGCATGACACAATGGTGTGGTAAAACATGCATAATGTGAATGGGCCCTAACTGTGGATTTGACAGGCATTAGAAAATCTTATTAGTGACCTGCAGCAGGACAATTAACATCTTCTTGAAGTGTGCACTGGTATCTTTGATAACATCCGTCTCCAGGTCTCTGTCATAAGCTGTAAGAATTCAGAAAATGTTTATCAGTAAAGATATGAATGTTAATCAAACATAAGACTTTATTTGTTATTATTATGCTCTCACCATCTTTATAGGCTGCTACCAGTTCATGAATCTCCTGGTTAGTCCGAGATGCCATGATTTCAATGAGACATTTTTCATCGGTTCCAATGCCCTGAAATACATTGTCAAAGACAGATCATTAGCAGACAGGTATTGTTTTTGCAAAGCTCATTAACAACTACTGTCATCTGTTTATTTTTGACAGGATCATACACAAGGTAACTAAACTGGCTTTAAATGGGTTGGTCCACTCAACACTGATATTACGTTTTTTTTGTAGATGCTGGAAAGTAACATCACCTGACAGTTCTGTTTAGCCCTTAGGAACTCTATTGGTGAGATATCTGTCTATTAGTTACTGGGTGTGTATTCTGCACTCTGTTAAATTTCATATTTTATATTATGTAGGGTGCAATATGAGCTTACTCTCTACTTGTTCCAGTGGTGCAATTGCTTCTATCTTTTTACTTTTTTTCTGGTAATCCAGTCAGTTTCTATACTTTCTGTCCTAGAATGACAACTCTTCCTAAGCAGGAGCAGGGTAGTCACCCTAGGATGCAAGCAGGGGCATCTCGAGGATGGGTGACACCCGGAGCGGAGACTGGGTGACACCCTGCCGTGAATTCATCGCGCATGCGCGGTCGTCTTATTGACGCCTGCCGGCGGCCATCGTGGTGATGGATGCCGGCAGAGAGAGGAGGGGACGTTCACCCGGCGGAATGAGGTATGCCGCCGTGTCCCCTCCTCTCTCCTAGAAAGCCCATAGTCCCATCGCACCCCTGACCGCGAAATCCATTTTCAAGAAATGGGTGCTACAGCAGTCGACAGATGGCAGCCGTCACAAACACGAGCAAAAGTAGAGACACCGGCACTCCAGGGTAAAAAACAGCAAATGTCTATTTATTGACGTGCAGCATAACAAGTATTGCAACGAACGTTTCGGGGTTGCACAGGATCCCCTTCTTCAGGCAAAGGCATACCTTGCTTTTGCCTGAGGAAGGGGATCCTGTATGCCCTCCTCTCTCCTGACACTCGGTCTGTGACCGAGTGCCTGACTTTTAATAGGGGGTGACACCAAAATGACTGTCAGTCATTATGGTGGCACCCGGGTGCAGGCTGCACCCCCCGCATCCCCCTTGTGACGCCACTAGATGCAAGCTCCCTGAGGACTCCAAGCTAACATCTCAATGCACAGTTCACCTGCATGTACAGTACAACTTGGAGTCAATAGAGAGCGCAAGGCATCACTGGATCGCCTTTAATCACATGCAGACCTACACTCACAGGTACAGTTTGGGGGGCATGCCCCATGGACTTCTAAAGCCAAACAGATAAGCACTGTAGAATATAAAAGCACATGGTCTAACAGACTAAAGAATGTTTATGGGAGAGTACATTTTGCTATAAAAATACTTTAAGTTCTTAGCTGCAAAAATGTAAAGAAAATGTGGTCTTTATCAGATGGAGTAGAGCGTCATTCAATTTAAACCAATAAAGTTGAACTCCAGCTAATAAAAAAAAAAAAAAAAAATCATCTCTTGCTGACTCCCCCACAGTACTTCTTTTCCATCACTAGATGTCCTCAGTCTTCCAGGTTGACTGAGGACCAGCGGAGAGTCATCATCAAAATAGCTTGGGCCCGCTATACCCAATAGCTTGTATGTGCATTATTATTATTATTATAATACAATATTCATATAGTGCCAACAGTTTGTAGAGTGCTTTACAAAATTAAGGTAGACAGTACAGTTACAATACAATTCAATACAGGAGAGTTTGGAGGGCACTTCCAATCTAAAAGGAGGGGCAAGTGATACAAAAGGCATTAGATCATATGCAGTACTAATGTGATCCCCAAGTGAATAAAATCATGGGTAGCATATGATGGGCAGTACAGCGGCTAAGTGGTTAGCGTTTCTGCCTTTTGCAGCACTGGGAGTTCCTGGTTTGAATCCCAGCCAGGTTACTGTCTGCAAGGAGTCTTCATGTTCTCCTTGCACGGGTTTCCTCCCACACTCCAAAGACATGCTGGAAGGTTAATTGGTTCCTGTGTTAATCGGCCCTGTATGTATTTGAGATAGGGACCTTAGATTGCAAGCTCCTTGAGGGGCAGGGCATGATGTGAATGTAAAGTGCTACATAAACTGTTAATGCTATATAAATGCCAGTAATAAATAAATAATGTGCCTCAAATCTAAGCACATGAGCAAATCCACAAATAAACAAACATGAGGAACAGATTAGTGCTGTTTATAATCTAGTCCAAATCCCATTCGCACTGCCACGGTCTCAAAACCACAAGGTATATGTGGTGCCCAGGTGACCACACGGATGGCGCCGTGCAAAACACTAATAGTAAATAAAAGTAATTCACCGGCACACACTTGAAGAGTTTTTAAAGTATTGATATGTTTATTCAATACCCAATGTCACATACTGTCATATGTTTCGGGTCCGCACAGGGATCCTTCATCAGAGCGACAGTCGCTGTCGCTCTGATGAAGGATCCCTGTGCGGACCCGAAACGTTAGCACCGTATGACAGTATGCGACATTGGGTATTGAATAAACATATCAATACTTTGAAAACCCTTCAAGTGTGTGACGGTGATTTACTTTTATTTACTGTTTATAATCTAGACACAGAAGGTATTGAATATTGATAAAACAGTATCTAGAGTGTATTTTTATTTTTATTGTGAATTGAGGGAATTGCAGACTTTGGGAATTTGTGTTCTATATTTATACTTGGGCTCACTATACTACTGCACCTAGTAGTCTTTACGTCAGCACTATTCAGTGCAGCAATAAGAATGGTCCACTGCCACTGCTTGAGGGAAAGAATGAGGACTCATTAAGTCATTAGATCGACGACCCTTGCAAAACAAAAAGCATGCATGCATGTATGTATATAAATAATGGTAAAACAGTAGATTATGTCATGTAATTCAAAACATAAGTGTAAGCATTTTGCTGTATGTTTTTGTTTGTGTTCTTTTGGTAAGCTTAGTTTTATGAGCATCTGTCTTTTTTTTCAACCTAAATGACCATGTAACTGTGCAACCAAATTGATAAAAGTATTATTTTGTATTTAGAATAAGTGTTTCAGTAATTTGGAGTGATTTAGACCACGCCGCCTAAATGATGCTTCTTCATATTAAAATACTTACATCAATGGCATCTTTAATCTCCTTAGCATCAAAATAAGCTGGGGGTCTCATCAGTCCTACAATGAGCCTCTCAAATTTACCAGTCAGCTCATATTTCAAGTCATCAATGAGGTCCTATGGAAAAAACACACGGGTCAGTTTTATGTTTCAGGACTCATTTTTAATTAATTTATTTGTTTACATCAATACATTCAGCAGTGCCCTGCAGAGGACACTGGCCCATAAGATTCTGTATTCTAATGTATCTATCATAGTCATAGTTATAGATACTCCTGTACAGCCAATATGTGCTGAATCTAATAATCCTACAGCATAGATCATCCCCAAACAATCCATACATACTTGGAAAGAAACAAACCTCAACAGATCATTTTAAATGTAGAAACTAAATCCAGTAAGTGATAACGATATTTGGTTGTAATCACTGTGTTCTCCTTCTGGTACCATCCTCAGACATACTTGTAGCATTAAACCAAATACCACCTTTTAAGTGTAACTGCACCTTTGATGCATGTACTTATTATGTAATTCACCGCGCTCTGTCCACCCCACAACCCAGTCTTATACTAACCTGTCTCAATCCAGCTAGTTATAACTGGCAAGGTTGCGCAGCTACTTGTCAAAATCTTCCGGGCAGAGCCCACAAATGCTTCTGTACTCTCATCCGTTCCTATAGAGAGCTCAAACTCTTGACTAACTCTTCATTAATTAAATTAATTGAGAATGCAGAAAAATGTGTGGCTTTGACTAACAGAATATTGACAAGCAGCTATGATATGCTGATGAGGTAGCACAGCCAATATCTTAATGGATTGGTGAGAGCCGAGTATAAGACTGGGGGTGGACTTCAGCATAGGAAAAACTGAATCTCATCAGCAGCCAAAAAAGGGAATCAGGCTGGCCAGGCAGTACTCCCTCACCAGAAGACAAATGGCTGTTGACACAGTGTGTGTGTGCCTAGGTCTGTCCAGTGCCTTGACCTGTCTGACGGAAAAGTGAGTGAGTGATTGTCGTACACAGAGAGGGACAGTGCGGGAGTAGGCGGCTCAAATAGGGCAACTCCTTAGCCAGGAGGCTACACTGTTGTGAGTGCTTCCATTGACCAGACCGACAACAGAAAGATTTGGGTCTATACAGAGATTGAGGTCTGAGGGGACCAAAAATAGTCAGGAGCATTTTCTGTTGCAATGTGATTGAGAACCCTGGGAAGTAAAACTGCTGTCAAGGTCACTGTTGAAGAATAAGAGTGGATAGAAAATCGTAAAATACAAGTTGGCGGGTAGTCAGAGTCCATGAAAGCTCTACATTTGATGCTGAAATCTCACAAAATATATCAGTAGGCATTCCTGTAGAAGGAAGGACCTGGCGTGAATTATTATATTTGCACAGTTACCTTGCCATAGAGAGATTTGTAGGCCTGAATGATCTGTATACGCTGCTGGTTGCTCCTTGCGGTTATAAGATCCAAGATGGCTTCTTTGTCACTGCCTGCAAGAAGACAAACCAAGACATAGGAATAAAGACTCTCTCAAATCAACAACTACTCTACCTTTCCTGGCAAGAACGTGTACACATGAGGTCAGCATACAAATGTATTCGTAGCCAATGAATAATTATTCCACCACATACTTTAAGTAATTTCCACCTCGGTGGTCATAGCCTTTATTCATGCAGTGCTTCAGAATAAAGAAGTCTTTTCGCATGAGCCCCTGTACATACTTAGGGCAAACTAGTCAGAAGTGGGGCTGAAACAACTAATCAATAATGAGAATCAATGTCAATGATTCTTATTATTGATTAGTTGGTCTGGATCCCCTGCTTCTCCACTCTGGGAGCCAGTGTTTCATCGGCTCTGTGTCCCCTCCGATCCCTGCTGGGAGCAGGCACACACACAGACCCCTGTAGCTGGTGCCAAGCCGTGAGAAGAGCTCCCCCCAAACCTCCTCCCTTCCCCTGCCACCGCATGGGCTCTGCTCCTGCCACCCTGCAGCTCTCTCCTCCCTTCTGGGAGCCTGCTGCATGCTGTATCGGCAGAGGAGTGGGGCAATCCAGGCAGAAGAGCTGCAGAACGATCAGCATATATGTGAAATATTTGCTGATTGTTCCCGATAATATATATCAGTACTGATCAATACGATCTTTGTAAATAACTGAAGACATAGTATTCAGATACTGTGTCCGTAATTATGAATGAAAAGGAAGTGCTCGACATCACTTCCCGTTCATTCATGATTGTGGACATAGTATCTATTTACTATCTCCTCGATTTATGAATGAACAGGAAGCCTCTGTTTTGAGTGCTTCCTGTTCCTTGAGTGCTGGGTCTGCAAAAAAAGAGATTGAGGACTCTGCGTCTCTTTTTTATTTCAAAAGGGAAATATCAGGGGTCTGTTTTAGACCCCTGATATTTCCCTAGCGCTCCTAACAGTAAAGTAAAAAATAAATAAATAAAAATAATTTACAAAACGCAAACAAATGTTAAAAAAGAAATACATTTACCCTCCGCTCATATTATACAAAAACTGAAAAAGGTGGAGAAAAAGGCCTGACAAATTCTGGTGATGAAGGTGTCATTCATTTCAATGGTTCCCTAAACGCACCTCACGCCACCACCTGAACATGCGGTACCGCAACTCCATGCATTCCAGTAGGGTGCAATTGCACAAAATTGGGCTGCTGTTTTATACTGAAGTAAACTTTATGTTTGTAACACTCCATTTGTGTATTTTATTTTAAATCAAGGATGGTATTTATTTTTTATACGATTAATTGAAAAAAATAATCGGCCTGCTAATCGTTTATGAAAATAATCGTTAGTTGCAGCCCTAGTGAGAAGCCGCTTACCATACCAGTATGTTTCTGGGTTATGGGAGGAAATAGGAATACCTGAAGGAAAGTTGCAATCATGGGGAGGGCACACAAGTTACAGTACATACATTTATGGCCACATCTGATCCAAGTGTTGCAAGTTAGAAGTGCTAAGCACAATTTAAGCACTGTACATCAATCAGGCTTTACACACTGAGCAGGGCACAGGATGCTTGCAGGAGGGAGAGCAACGAGAGAACTTGTTGTTGTACATCTGCTCCTTCATAAAATCGCAGACTATGGGGTTGTTCTTGACCAAGCTGCTTTATTATTTTAGCTGCAGTAGACAAATGTGAGGTCACATCATGTGCTGGATGTCTGGATTTGAAAACTGCCTAAATAGAAGTATAATTTCTATTGGCAGGAAAGGGACAGACACGTATTTATATAGATATATATATATGTATCTCAGAGTGTTTGTCCTCACTTCCATTTGGAGGGCATAGCAGCAGAATAAAATATTGATTTTGTATTATGTTCAGGATGACTACATATATTTTTGTGACTTCAGGAACCTTAGAAAGCCCAGCCATGTTTTACAATGTGTTATAGGGGGTTGCTGAGCTGCACTGGAATTTAGCTTAACAGAAACCAGATTGATTTTCTTCCACAGACCTAAGCTACTCCTATAAGCTCTAGATGTATTTACAGGTCCGCTCAGACAACGCAGAACACAAAGCTGCCTTTATTTCACAGACGCACTGGAGAAAAAAAAATCTGGATTTAACTGTTTATTGTTACAGCTGCTGCAGTTTGTGCCCGCATGATCAATACTCCTCCAACTTGTTAAAAGCAAAAACTGGTGGATTGCCTCAGACGAGGGCTCCCTGCCCACACCTCTCCCCCTCAATTAAGTCAAGCAAGCAAAAGTAGGGTATTGAGGGTTTTTAGAGAGGTATAAAGGCAATGACCATGTATATATATATAAAACATATATCAAAGGTTTATTGTACATAAAACTCATTGTTAAAACATGAATCCAGTAAGTAAAGGCATTTGCAGTCCATACATATCCTTCAACACTAATTGAAGGATAGCTCCACTATCCAGACTGCACAAATCTACATGTATGGACTGCGAAAATGCCTTTACACTGGATTCATGTTTTAACTATGAGTTTTATGTACAATACACTTTTGATATATGTTTTATATATATATACATGGCCATTGCCTTGACACCTCTCTAAAAACCCTCCATACCCTACTTTTGCTTGCTCCTCCAACTTGTACAGTTAATGTTTTATGGATTCATTTAAAAAACAGGATTGCCCACAGCAAGTAATCAGGTTCCAGATACCTTTTTCTTAGAATGGCATTTTGAAGCAGACCATTTGTGTGAAAAGGTAGAAAAGAAAAAGTAATTTCTCCACATATAAAATACACAAATTAACACAGCTCTGTATTCATTGATATGTCCATTTTTTACATGCAAGCTGTGTAAGCATCTGAATTTGACCGATTATAAACCTCTCGCAGTCCCTGTACAGCAGAACTCAGACTGATAGGAGAGATCAGAGTACACATTGTCTCACTGTCTGGTCACAGGAATGGTAGGAGACATGTAAGTGAAACTGAACTGCAGCAGAGAAAAATAAGGTCTCATTCCCTGACAGACAGGGCTATGTTGTGTGGCACAGCTGTGTAGCTCTTTGCATGGAGTTCAGCTTTAGGAAAAGTCTGCTGTCAATGCCAGCGTGAATGGTAAGCAGAGTGGGGATCTGAGGCTGTGGCCCTGCATAACTTCCTGTAAAAGAGGTCCATTTCTACTGCACAGAACATCCATCTCTTAGAGTCGAATCTCTGATGCACTGAGCCTAGCTGCTCCCATTAGCATCAGAGGAAGTATGGCCATAGGACCACATGAGAAGGGAGGTACTGGTCTTTTTATAGCAAAGTGTATATTCTGATTTATATTATAGACTTATATTCTCATCTGGTGCCACAAGGAGTCCTCTAATGATCGTGCTGGCCCTTTACGACACACACTTATTGATATATACAGTCTTTGTCTTCAAAATTGAATCTGAACTCGAGGAATTATCTTTTTTTCAAACTTACATTAGTTCAGCTTGGTTACATCTAATTCTTCATATCTCACATCCAGAGGCATGCTGGGGATGCAGAAATTCACTGTAGTAGTGCAACATTCAACCTGTTCTCTGACTGAAGAAGGTGTGTTCATCGAAAAACATAGAAGACGTTCTCTGAATGGTGGATGTGCCGAGCAAGCACTCTCTGCGTTCAATATACAGGCGGCAAGTCACTCGAGCAGCACCCGGAAGAGACCAGTGCTGACTGTATGTAGCACAGACTACTACAGTGAATCTCAGCCTCCCATCTTCTTTCCAGATGTGAGATATGAAGAATTAGATGTAACCAAGCTAGATCAATGTAAGTTTGAATAAAATATAATTCCTGGAGTTCAGCTTTAAATAAATAGCCACTTATAGATAAAGTAAATGACATCACTCAGCACCAACAGTGAGACAATGATCATAACTCATTTTTAGATACTATTCTTATTAATATTATATTGTTGTCACTCACCAAAGCCTTTCATAGCTTTGTAGAGGGTTTCAGCATCTTGGCTGGCATCAAAGTCAGGATAATCCTTCACAGATCCTCTGTAACGACCAACCTGCAACCAAAAGAAACACCACTGGAATGAGCAAACAAAAGACAAAAAAGTTTAATTGCTATAGCACTGATATTTTTTACACTACACTTTACTAGTATTGAACAATCCATATCGGTCAGGAGTGAAAATCAATCACCCCTTTTAGTACAGTCATACATGGATGCACAAGGCCATACTGGAGAGAAGCCAACTAGCTTAGCAGTATGGTATTAAATTATAGAGGAAAACCATCACAGGTGGTTGCGGACAGCAGTGGAATGGAAGCGTGTACAAAGCAAGGTCAGGCTGACAGGTGCCACATCTGTCCACTGCTGTTCATATGTGATACATATGAACAGCACTGGACTCTATAGATTACATTATATAGATAACACTGTGTGATATTTTAACAGTGACGCACATCCAGCGGATACCTGCTGCTAAGTCACCTGTCCCCAGACACATGCGAACAGCACCAGACTGCTGCAGGTCTAGTCAGACTGTCATTGCTTGGTACAGGCTGAGCGGCCACCGCTGTCCAGTACCACCTGTCATTGTAGCTGCAAGAATCTGCAGATTCTTGCTGCATGTGGGCACTAAAAGCCCATGTGATTGAGGCCTTGGACACTGGACTCTGTAGATTGCATTATATAGATATCATTCCTCCAGGAGGCAAGCCTCGTTCTGAGGCTACTCTAGAGATCACATGACCTTCCTCCAGGAGGCAAGCCTCACTCTGAAACTTTACCAACTGATATCTTACTGGAAAGGTTTACTCAGAGTAAACCTTTCAGGGAGAAAATGCCTCTCTTGCGGATGTCAGGGAGCCGCTATCTAATAGAGGGAGACTCCCTGAACATCAGGGAGACTTGAGATCCCTGCACTGTGTGATATTTTAACAGTGACTAGTACATATTTTGTCAGAGAGATAAAAATTATACAACTTCTGCACCGTAATTGGTAATTATGTATGTATCCAGCAGAGGGCGCCACCTGCTTACCAGAAAAGTTCATAAGGACTCTGCAACGTGTTAGCACATTTTACAATTCTTTAGATACAGAACAATGAGGGGAATTTATCAAAACTGGATCAGATTTGCACTGCAACCAATCAGCTTCTATCTCTCATTTTCAAATCTCAACTGAGCAACCTGAAGAGAGAAGCTGCTTGGTTGCCATGTGCAACTGCTCCAGTTTCTGTCTGCTCCAGTTTTCATAAATGCCCCCCAATGTGTGTAGTGGTGTTCTGGATGATAATGTGGTGTGCTAAGATATTAAAAATGCTGAGCCTGATTTATAGAAGATCGATAATGTGAATGCTTTGTTCACAGATATATATAAATAAAGCCATTTTATAGATAAGTAAGTGTGTTCAGATGTCTGGTTCCTGTGACCCAGCCATGGCTTCTGTGCACTCAATGTTACCGGCATGTCCGCATTATCTGATTACCTTTTCCCGCCGTAACACTACCGCTTGTGAGTCTGGTGTTACAGCTGCAATCCCGGATCATCTTTACTAGGCTGATAACCCATTGTTGTCCATGATAGCTACATGAGTCTCATCCAACAAGAAACACATTACAGGAAAGTCTTCTACTCTTACAAAGTGGGGGTCATCCATTATTATATAGCTCATACCTGTCCATGAGGACACTGTATAAAGGCAAAGTAATAGTTTGTCCTTGCTCCTGCAGCCTACTGGGGTATATGATGGGGATATCTCAGGAGGCAGCAAGAACAGGGACACATCATTCTTGACTATGTGAGGATGGCATTGGGGAAAAAGAAGAAAACATCTCTTAACTGCACAGAAAATTGGGGGGGGGGGGTTCAGGCAAAGTGATTTAGTGGACTAGGTCCACTTTAAAGTGAACCTGCGCTTTGTCCATACTAAACAGAATGACGTATTCTCTGACAGACAATAAAAGACATACTCAGCTAGATTCACTAACTAACACACCAGGATAAGTAACTTTATTTTAGCCGTTTAACTTTATTTTTCAAATTCTAATTGGACTCTGCTGAAAATAACTGTCACTCTGTAGAAAATAAAGATCCATATCCTGGTATGTTAGTTGTGTAAATGGAACCTATAGACATATATGTATTCCAGCTTTATGTAGAGCTGCTTGTCTGGAGTTCAGTTTCTAAAAATCTAACGGTTTGTAATTTACAATACAAACCTAAGTGTGAAACTAAAAAACCAATCATCTCTATACAATTGTCTGCGTAGTGTGGAAAGTCAGCGGTTTGGCCTTCATGTAAATGATGGCTGATTTTACATGTATGTATACCATATATGAATACACATCACCTTATCCTGCACTGCAATTGTGAAATCAAAAAGTTTCCTGTGTAAATGACTAGGTTGCCTAGCAACACAAACACAACAGGATGCCGTAGTGAGGGGCACGTGCCAGTCATACTTTACTGTTCCCCGCCAGAGAAACCGCACATCACTTAGACTTACATTTACATTGTTCTCTTTTTGAAAGGCTGAAATAAATGTGAAGGTGACTATTTTTATTCTAAATAGTCTAATCAGGGGGTGTTCATGTTTTAAAAGTGTTACCACCTATGTAAAGTCTGTAATTATATACTGTATGTACATGTGAGCAGCCATATTTAATAATTACACATGCCGGCTCTGCAAACTACGGTAATATTTGTGCACCACTGCTCTCTTTATCATAGCCCATATTACCAAGTCTGTTAGTCAGGTATGTAGATCGTCGATAAGGTAAACGACTGGACAACTTCCCTCTTTAGGGTTTTTCCCTTAAGCAGGGGTAGACAACTCCGGCCCTCCAGCTGTTGGAACTACAAGTCCCATGAGGCATTGCAAGCCACTTTGACAGCCCAAGGCATGACTTCCAGAGGCAAGATTGGATTTGTAATTTCAGCTGGAGGGTCAGAGTTTGACACTCTCCCTTAAGGCCCCGTTCACTTCAGACAGAATCTGGAGCAGTTGAATTTGACAACACAATTCAATAAATGCTGTAAATGTTGTCTTCACTAAAGATAAAGGGGGGAATTTATCAAAACTGGAGCAAACAAAATCTGGAGCAGTTTCCCAGGGCAACCAATTAGCTTCTCTCTCTCATTTTCAAATCTTACATGAGCAAACTGAAGAGAGAAGCTGATAGGTTGCCATGGGCAACTGCTCCAGATTTAGTTTGCTCCAGTTTTGATAAGTTCCCTTCACAATGTTTATCTATGTTGCCAATACACACTGTTTAACCCCCCTATCCCATATATACCATTTTGGCTTACTCATAGAGACCAGCTGTTAAAATATTTTCCTTCCTCCTTATTCCTGTGACACTTGCTGTGCAGCCCTGCCTGGCTCTGCATAGTTTTAGCAAAGAAACGCCTTCATTGGGTCCTCTTCCTACTGCTCATTCCTAGTCATAAATGGGGCCATGGGACGCATGCACAGTAGGAGAAGGACCCGGTCTGGACCAGTGTTAATTTTGACGACAAATTTCAATTTGGTTTTAGTTTAAGTCTTTGACTAAAATGCCATTTTTGTTTTAGTCGTATTTTAGTCATCTGAATAGTTTTAGTCAACTAAATCTAATGGGTTTATTTGAAGTGTAATGCATTATTTAAGCAATTCTGTAGAATTTCCAAACTCATATACCGTATTTTTCGCTCCATAAGACGCACTTTTTTCCCCCCAAAAGGAGGGGGAAAATGTGCCTGCGTCTTATGGAGCGAATCCCGACGCCCGAGACATGCAGTTTCGGGCGCCGGGCGAGTAGTAGGAGCCACTGCTCTTCTCTTTCTCCCTGACGCTAACATGTCTGTACAATTTGTGCACTGGTGTCCCACTGGGTACCTCAGTAGGTTATTATGCAGTTGTGCATATCTCCCTACTACATCCTTCTGTCATGAGAATACCAGCCCATAGGCTTCTTGTTCTGAACTGGTATCCTGGAGGCTGGGGCTGCGCACTGCTTTTTTTATTAGTGGTTTTAAAAAATAGTGATATAATTAGTAATTATCAGTGAATGAGATGCTGGGGGATTTCAGTAAGTATTCAATGATCTTTACTGACTGTATCCTAATGCAAGAAAAAACCCATCTGGCATTTCAAGGTTTAATCTGTGTGGTTTTATCTGCTCTTTCTCCAATCAGCCTGTAAAGTCACAAGGCTGTCTTCCTGTCTGCAGCCCAGCTGTAAGAGCATGCTGCTTCCAGCTGTCTGTTGCTCTACATTAAAATCTTCATTGTCTATCTCAGCAAACCACTGATCACAGGGAAGTGTTATACAAAAGAAAAATAACATTGGCTTTACGCTCTTCAATTCCTAAACGATCAGACACTCCCACAACTCCACCATGGTTCTGGGACACATACATCCACTATGCAGCATCTGTCACTTGACCTTCTGGAAACGTCATCTTATTATTTTACCAGTAAAACAAACCAAATGAATGTTTCTTACACTATTGTAACCAGGGCCGTGCGGTCAGAGGAGGCAGGCCTCACCTAATATTATGGAAGAAAAAGCTGAGAGTTTTTTCTCTATTCAGACCGGCTTCCAACAGGTTACACAGCAGGGAAAGCCTCCCCACTGTGTAACCTGTCATGGATGGAATGCTGACTGTTGATTACAGCCGGCGCTGCCCCACTGCTTGTGTAACCTAACTTAGTGAGGCAAGAGCTGCAACAGCCTCTACTTGGTGTTAGAGGCTTGAGCTCTGTGGATGGTTTGGACCAATGGCAACGCGCCATTGGTCCAAGCTGTCCAATCAAAAAAAAGAAAACAAAAACACTGAGGACATCAATCTCGATGCCTCACCAGTTACGAGCAAGTGAGGGACAGGGAGGCTCCTCCCTGTCTTCTCCTGCTTTCTGATTGGCCAGAAAGCGGCTTCATGCTCCCTCGTCACCTCATGACGAGGGAGCATGGAGCCGGCTTCACAGCCAATCAGAAAGCAGGGCGTCTCATCATTACACAGCGCCCGGTTTCCTGATTGGCCAGAAAGCTGGCTCTATGCTTTCTCGTCATTTAGTGAAGAGAAGCATGGGGACGGCTTTCCGGCTAATCAGGAAGCCAGGTGGCGAGTCATTACACTCCGCCTGGCTCCCTTAATGTGACTTCCGGTATCGGTATTCGGTATCGGCGAGTACCGGATAAAAAAATATCGGTACTTGATATCGAAATACCGATATCGGTGCTCCCCTAGCCAACATGCATTGAAATGCATGTTACATGCATTTTTCATGTGTGCCAATAAAGTCTATAGGGCCAAACACACAATGATGCATTTGAAATATGCACCTGTATTATTTTGTCCAATGCATAACGCCACTCGGCACATGTGTAAACGGGCCCCATAGAGAAGAATAACAATCTTCTTGTTGTGCCTTATTGTGCATTGGGCAATGCGCCTTAATTTGCACAGATTTTTGCATAGCTCTTCCTAGTTTATGTTGTGAGTATGGTCAGGAAGGTGGCCACCTCATCCCCTCAAAATCAAACACATAAAATGCCAGTAAGGTACTTACAGGGCTATTCACAAAAGGGTGAAGAGTTTGGAGGAGGCAGGAGAAGTGAACAATCTAGGACAAATGAGCTGATTTGGAAAAATTATCCAATTCAGCTCACTTTCCAGTTCAGCTATGTTGTCCTAGATTGTTCCCTTCTCCTGCCTTCTCCAAACTCTGTGAATAGACGGACCTGTTATTGAATCTAATTACCACCTTGTCAGCCACAGAATCTGTGTAATTCATTTGTGTTTGACCAGTTTTGGGTGGCCACCTCATCCCTTTAAAACCAAAGAAAAAAAGATTTCCCATTAGTTGTATTAGGTAATTTCTGTTGACCTCAATTTTCATGTTTTCACTTCCCCGTTATGAATATTATTCAGATGATTTTACTTTCTCTTACTTTTCTACAAGAAGTTCCGTATTTCTCCCATTGCTTGGAGGAAGCTTGCAAAGCTAAATGTCTGACTCCGTTTGGCACCAAGTGCTGGGTGGAGGAAAACTACACGATCGCCCTTTGACCTCATTACTAACCTCAGTGTAACAATTTAATGTATTTGTTTTATAAAACAGAAGAGGACCACGCTTCCGATCTTTCTGTAGGATACATTTCAGGTTCCAATTGTATCTAACTCATAATACTATGAGGGGGATTTATCAATACTGGAGCATACAGAATCTGTAGCAGTTGCCCATGGCAACCAATAAGCATCCACCTTTCAAACCTTAACTGAAAAACTGAAGAGAGAAGCTGATTGGTTGCCATAGACAACTGCTCCAGATTCTTATCCAGTTTTGATAAATTCCTCCCATTGGTTGCCACTATATTAAAACATAACTACCTTTGGGCAATATATATGTATGCTCTTGGGATAACATAAATTAAGACATTGCCATTTTGTATACAATAGATCACAAATGTACATTTTGCTTCCTTCACAGGGCTGTGACTTCTTCCTCAGCCAGCTCACGGGTTACATTCAAATCATTGACATAAAGAGCACAGGCAGGGTAATAAATGAGTTGCTTTCTGTCATAAGGTTATGTCCATTGCAGAAGGAGAAGTGTTCACTGTGCCTAGCTGAACAGGCAATAGCCAACATTCTGAGGGTGACAACACTGCTCCACCATCAACACCATAGTGAGGCTGTGTTGTCACCCTGCTACAGCAAGTGGCTGGGGCACAATTTTAAAATGTATATTAATTCAGCAAAGCAGGGGAGCACAGGAAAATAATGCCAATGCAGCACTTCAATGATAGATATGTTCTTATATTCTGATGACATGTAATCTTTAAAAGGAGAGCCTTGAGCTGTTGTTTAGCAGCAATAAATATGGTATATATCAAAATAACAACTTCACTGCCCGGACCATCCTCCACTTTACAGCAATTAATAGTAAGACAAATCCCTGCAGTATTTACCTATCCTGCGGAAAGTCCTGCTTCAGGCTCCCACAGCAGCCAACAATCGGATCTCAAATGAAGGCGGGATCAGAGTTCAGCCAGAGCTGCTGATTACAAATCTGTCCCTACCTGTCAGTTTTCTGAGACCCCCGTCACCTTAGATCATGTGACCAATGCCTGCGCATCTGGTCATATGACCAGCAACTGTAGGATACCATAGCAGCATTTTCTGCAAAACAATTATTCTGGTATATTTTTTTTAGACTTTATTATTGCAAGAAGCAGGACGGCCAAGACAGAGCGGCTGATTTTGGCATACGCCTACTTTAAAACCTAAGAATGTAGATATTTTTGATATTTTAGAATAAAACATTTGAAATGGGGTCATACAGTCTGCTGCCTCTCGTGCGACCTCTACATATTTTCTTGGCAGAATAAGATTCCTGTCTCTCCAATCTCTGAATCATCTTGGTTGACTCACTACTATAAATATCCCATCTTGGGGAGATGTGACACGCTTAGCATGCCTTGGCACAAGATCTTAAATAGGCTGTGCTGGGAAATGACTGGCTTTCTCTATACTCTATTACTCGACACCAAGAACACATTCTAAGAATACAAACTATTCATCCTAGTATTGGAAGTTATGTGAAAGATACAAGTTATGTAATCAGAACGTAATAAAACACGGAATGCTGACACAGCCCAACTAACCCATACAGAAGCTTATTGAATAAGTGCAAAGAAAAGTGATGATGTCTACATTTACATTAGTCTGATCAGAGAATGACTTCTAATTGGTTGCTGGAGAAAAGTGCACTCCATCACCTTGGGTGGACCCAGTCACGGGTCCACCCAAGCCATTCTCATGCTAATTAATATTATGGCAATGACTGTCAAACACTTGTCACCAGTTCTCATGGACCTGCTATGCTGTCTCCTGACCAGTTAGCCAATCAGTTCACTATCTGGATTCTGTAAACAAAACTTTTGTGCTAACTTCAGTCCCCTATTGTCACGGTGGGCCCAATCAGGGCACCCTTTGTTTTTGGAAGCATTGAAGTAACACCTTTCTTATACAAAAAGCAAATCCCTTTCTAGATATTTACTCTCTGAACTGGAGAATTACAATATCAGATTGGCTGGTGCAGGTCCACTTTTCTTAACTTTACTTTTCATAATGTCATTCTATAATGAGGATACCAATGTTACCACCTTTTAGCAATAAATCAGCTCAAATTTATATTTACATCCCTGAATAAATGATCTTTTTGTAACTGGATATAAGGTGCATACAGTTAAATGATACACAATGTTGACACACCGCAGTGACTAATGCCTTATGGCATAAAGATTCAGTAAGACAAAGCAAGCCACAAAGCAGGCTGTGTTGTCTTCTTTCTGTACCTAGCCTATAGGCCTTTCGGAATATTTTTTTTATATATTAAAAGTTTATTTGTAAAGCAAATATTGTTTACATATAGTTAAAACTTAAATGTATAGCCCATTTCTAACAAAATGTTTTATATTGTTTTGAATGGAGTGATGGCCAATCTCCCCGATGTGGACAAAGACTAAAAAAAAGACACATTTTTAGTAGAATGGTGAAAGGTTAGAACTTCTGACAATGTTTTTATTACTGTCCATGCCTTCTGATGCCCGAACCCCTTACTTCCCGTACGGATGTCACAGAGACAGGAAGTAAGGGAACACTGAAATAAAATTTACCAAAAATCATTATAGCTGCTGTTTAAACTAGCTAATTGAATGGAAATCTGCTGTGAATAGAAACACGTGTTGCCGACATTTTTACATCTAAGGCTGGGCACACACCTTACAACCATCGCAAGACTTTTGTCTTGCGATGGTTGTAAGGTACTTAAAAAAACGTACGATCTGCCTATCTTGCATAGGCAGATCGTACTTGCGACGATCGTAAGCCACGCCCACTGAGGTGCGGGCTTCCGATGACCGCAATGCCGAACGGGCAGTGTGCGCTTGCGCACACCGGCCCGTCCGGCTTTTATCTCACGAAAATGCTACACACCCGCCGTACATCGTACGATGCTCGGTGGGTTTTGAAACATGTTCGTAAGTTTAAAGTCGTGTGACCTTACAGTAGTAGAGGTCGCACGGCTTCCACACACCTTACGACAATCGTACGATTATCGTAAGCTGTGTGGGGACCTTCAGAAACCAGGTAAAAGTGATGAACCCAACTCCACCTACAATAATCTCATTACCAAGCAGACCCAGGAATTTTCTGAGCACAAAACTCTGAATAAAGAGGGCAAGGAAAACTCACACAGAATTAACAATAATAATCAGGCATCAGAATCATGACATCGTATTTTCGTGTTAGAGATTCAAAAGGTTTCTCAAGCCAAAGCAAACTATCTCTTGACTGGTGTAACTCAGTCTTTTCTAAAGTTTTCAATATTGCTGTGTGCTTGTAGTTGGAACAGCCAATCACAAAAATGGTACATTGTGCATCTTGCACCCTAAATAGTGTACCAAGGAGATAGTATTTGCATTTGCGAGGTGGGAATACTTAGCTGGAAGTAAGCTGCTTGTGCAAACATTTAGGTGAAGATTTATAACTCTTCCACCCGGCCATACGCTGAACAAATTATGTTTGCACAGCATTCCCAGCACTAGATGGAGCTGAGAAGCACAGGAAATTATTAGTCTCCTCGGCTCCATCTAGTGGCAGGAATGCCTTGCAAATGGAATTTACCCAGCAAATAGCTGGATGGAAGAGTTATAAATCATCCCCTTATGTATCTGACACAACTTTCCTTAAAGTGAAATAACCACTGTGCTTATAAGATGTAATATAAACTGTATCTGGATAAATATCTTCTATCCCCACCCCTCTTCCAAGTCTTTACCTTTGATGACATGATGCTCCTGCCGAGATCAATGAGCAGTTATAAAGATCTGTTAAGAAACAAAAGAGTATACATTCAGTATTTGTTTAACAAACTACACAACAAAGAACAATAATAGAAAAACATAGTGTAACAATATCGGAAATCACATGTGCTTTGCGAGATATGCCCCAGAAGGGAAAGTCAATGGGCAAAGGACTAGTCACCAGTATTGCCTGTGGTCTGCCTGCAGCTGTTCCTTTTCTACATAGCTGACCTACCATGCCTTGTTCTGTACTGTGTCTCTGTGTGAAGGCAGCCATTTTGGTAGAGCAGCAGGGCTTTGTTGTGTCATATCAAAGCAGCACCTTAGATAAGCTCACTGCAGCTATATAACTATTGGACAAAACAGGAGTGCTTAGGTCACATGTCAGAAAGAGTACTGCTACTGTATATCAAATGAGGAAATCAAAGCAAAAGGTAGATTTTTACCAGTACTGCTTACACACAATTAACATTTCTAAATGTTCCCTATAATATAGCAAATATTCACTTTATGACATCAAGTCCACTTTAAACACAAGCAACAGGGCTTGTGTACATGAGCATTTGTCTACATCTGGACTGCTCTTCTTCCTCATACAAGTCAATGTAAATGCAAAAGCAACTGAAAGAAAGTCAGGCACAGTGCAAAGCAACTCATGTGTTAATTATAAGCATCTCAGAAGCAAGTCCATAGGAGATCAAAGCTACTTAAACACTGGTACAAAGTTAAAGCAACACAAAAGCATACTGCATTAGACTTGCTTCCCAGTCTGAAGCCAATGTACGTGTAGCACCCTGTAAGCAGGAGTGCTTAGTAAATGTAGAATTGTCAGATTGTAAATCTTATACTGATCTAATAGTCTAAGCTCAGTTGGTTTCCCCTATCAGTCTGTTATTGTTTGCATCTGCCTGCTGCTGGGTCTATCCTTGCCCCAGAGCAGAGTAACCAATGAGAGATTGTTATAAAAATCTATGTCTCCCTGGCCAATCACTAGAAGGTTCATGGCCAGTGGTGCATGCTGGGAGAGGACATAAAAATGTGGGGCGGACCACGTGAGGCTCTGTTTCTCCCCTGGGACCTACCTGAGGGGAGGCTGCTACTGACTGTCCGATTTGGCTAGGCCTAAAGCCTAGGGGACTCGCCATGTACTCAGACTGAGGCCTGAGTCTGGGGGGCCAGTGGCTGACACTAAGGATGAAGATGACAGAGTAACTTCAATAGGATGAGGAACCTGAGAAGTGAGCCTCTGTTATGACTGGAGGGTATGTTCTTGAATGGACTGGTGACTTCTGATTCATTCACATTTGGCTTAAAGGTCCTAGTCTACGGAGGGACAGCTGTATGTTCCGGCGTGTGTGCTGTGCGGGGATCAGAATACAACAGGCGGCTGCCTGTCATTGACAGCGTGGCTTTCGATGATCGCAAGTACGATCTGCTCGTCCAAGGTGGACAGATCGTATGAGCTTTCAATAAGCATACGACCATCGCAAGACAAAAGTCTTGCGATGGTCGTAAGGTGTATGGGCACCTTTAGCCTGATGGAGGCAGAGCCGATATCCGTCTCTGCAGGCAGCCGGTGATGTTGAACGTTTCTTAAACCCGAGCGCCCAAACTGCAATACTAAACTTATTTTCAGCGCTGGCACTTTGAGATAAATAAATTGATTTTGCGTCGCAGTTTGGGCACTCGGGTTCAAAAAGGTTCACCATCACTGTCCTAGTCTGTGATGGCAGCAGATACTTTGTTCTACCATGTAAAGAGGTTCCTAGCCCTAAACCTCTCTCCCTGAAGTTCTACAATAAACTTTATTCAGCATCACATCTACAGTCTGGATCTCACTTTATCATTTGCCACAGAGGGTGGTAAATGCTATCAGAGCAGCCAGGTTGCTAAAAATCCCAGACAGGCTAGGACACCCGTTCATCCAGCAGCTCCTTTCAAGGCTGAGCGCTACATACACAAATTTGTAAATGTGTCTACAGACATGACATTATGCTCACCCGATCCAGTCATTCAGATAAGTCCATCATTTGATTGGGACACTGAAGCTTTACAATAGAATTCACTTGGGAAAAAACCTAATATTTCTGTCCTTGGCTTGGGGAAGAGTTCTTTAAAGAGCTGTGAAAACATGGGGTAGTCTTTACCAGAAACTGGTGTAAGCTAAGTAGAATGTTAAAAAAGAGAAACCTCCCCTCTTGGAGCTTGTGAGATCTTGTGAGGAAAAGCTTCTTCTAAACAGAGTAGTGTGCAGCGCATGCGCGAGAAGAGGTGCAACTTCATCGGTGGGCTGATGACTTTTTTTAAATGGCATTATTATAATTGTATTATTATATAACAGCTTGCGCAGTGCTATACAATATACATGGGATAACAACCTGCAGGGGACATAGACTGCTTAGACTGAAGGAGGCAGGCCAGTACTACTAACTTTATTAGTTGTAGTAGGAAGATTTCACAATAGAATAATGTTACTTTTTTCAGTATAATAGAGAAGGTTTAGAACCTCTGCCAGGTTATTATTATACTGTATCTGTGTGTCCAATAACAGCTCTCCTCATTTCTTGCCCTGTTGTCACAAAGATTGACAGTGAAATGCAATATATTCAACAGGGACATAGACATGAATATTTACACTTCCCAAGTCTATCGAAAACTAAAATTGAAAGTTAGAGTCTTGAGTGAAAACCCCTCATTCTGCAGCCTTTAAAATTGAGTTCAAACATATTGTATGTCTAACATTTGCCTTCAGAGGTCTAACGATGGAAAGGATGCCAAGAATATAAGATGTATATAATATACAGGGAGACTGTACATTAACACCATCAATCAGTGAATCACTCCAGCCTGTCTGGGCTGTCCTTGCTCCTGGCTCTTTGATAGTCTTGTGAACCCTTTTAAGGAATATTGTTCACACTGTAGAATCTTGGCTCAGCTCTCACTTTTTTTTGCGGTGAGTGTGAGGCGGGGAGGAGGTGCGGCGTGTGGAGCGTGGATGTGGGCGGGCGGTGAGTGTGAGGCGGGGAGGAGGTGCGGCGTGTGGAGCGTGGATGTGGGCGGGCGGTGAGTGTGAGGCGGGGAGGAGGTGCGGCGTGTGGAGCGTGGATGCGGGCAGGGGGGGCGAGGGGGGGGGGGGGGGGGATGTGTGACTCAACTTTCTTGGAACTGAGCCTGTATTCTGTATGCTGTATAAAGGAGGCTCAGTGTGAAGAGTAGCCCTAAAGTGTACCTGTATGCAATGTTACACTTTACAAAACATGCAGGTTCCTAGCATTACACACACACACACACACACACACACACACACAGGTTGAACCTGATGGGCCTGATGTCCTTATTCAACCTCACCTACTATAACTTTGTAACTTTAAATAATAATAATAATACTAGTCCTGGCTAAGAGAAGACATTTAGAACTTGCTACATTGCTACATTAGAACTTGTTACCTTGCTATTACCTTTTAGGCCCCATTCACACCTATGCGTATTGTAATATGCGCGTCTGTCGCGCGACCGTCACGCGTTTTTTTTACCGCGATTCGCGGTAAAAAAGCCGCGCGACCGTCGTGCGATTCCAAAGGCTACTTGGCAGTATACAAATGGAAAACGCCCTACAAAACGGACCAATACGCAGCAAAAAACGCTCCGGGACCTTTTCATGCGTGGGCCGTTTTGTAGTGCGTTCGGGACGGGCGGAAATACGGACAGGTGGGAACGATACCATTGACTACAATGCTATTTATTTTTTTGACCGTTTTGTAGAGCGTTCATCGAGCGTAGGACGCGCTACAAAACGGTCAGGTGTGAATGGGGCCTTAGGCTAGGTTCACACCTGGGTGACTCCTGACCGTGGCTGTGGGTGCCATTATTTTTCAATGGCACCCCATTCCCGCCAGGCGGATCGTGCGGTTTCCAGCTGCGATTCCGCCGCCTGTCGCATAAAAAGGTACATTTTTTTAGCAATTGCCGCTTGGATGTCAACCCATTGAAATCAATGGGGCCGCGTGGCAACTGCTATGTGCATTAGCACACGATCGGCCATCCCGGGTGTCGTGCGGGTGTGAACCTAGCCTGAGCCTGCATTCACTCCTGAGCGACAGGGAATATGCGGGTGTTCGGCACATTTATGTGTAGCGCATTTTTGCACATTTGTACGTGCGTACATACAGTTGCACATTTTTGTGAGCAGATCTTGACACATTGATGGGAATGGGCACATGTGCATAAAAATGTGCAAAAAACACGCAATGCAAAAAAAAGCAAAAGCAGCAAACGTGCATTTTTTGTTGTTATTGGGTCCTGACTTCATAAATGAACCCTTCTACTGTCCAATGAGAGCACATCAGTGGTCAGTTGAGTGAGCATGTGGGTGTCAGCTACTGCAACTTAGCCATGAAGTCAAGAAAAATCAAGCCCCAATATTAAAGTGAAACTAAATCAGTCCTGCACTAGGTAGTGAAGCCAGGAATTGAATGACAGGCCTAGAACTTGCACCTTGAAGAGTTTTTAGTAGCCCTTGCAGTGGTGATACCCCTGCACTACCAGGGTTAACTTCTCATTTTGGTCTAGGGAAGAAAATAACAAAGTTATACTCACCCGATCCTTGCAGATGGCTTGCTGTGACAGTGCTCCCTGCTGCCTGTCTCCTCCTCCGCTGCAGCGATGGTATGTTCCTCAGCATCCTCATGTCCTATAAACTGTGTGGCTACAACTAAGGATTATTTTCATAATCGATTAGTTTGCCAATTATTTTTCCATTTATTGGTTAATCAAATACAAATACAATTAAATCAATACTAAGGGTGCACTGATACTAATATTGGTATTGGTGTCAATTCCGGTATCAGGAAGCCGGGCAGCGAATCACTAGCCCCCCTCCCCTCCCACCCCCGCTTCCAGATTGGCCAGAAAGGCAGCTCCTTGCTTGAGGGAGCATAGAGCCTGCTAACTGGCAAATCGGATAGCCAGGTGGCGAGTCATTACACGCCGCCTGGCTTCCCTAATGGGACTTCTGGTATCGGTAT